TTTTATATTTTATTATTTGAAAATATATTATATTTTATTATTTGAAAATTAACTTAAACACTTAATCTATAACAAATTTTAGAGACACCAAAGTTGCTACAACCCCTGAAAAAAAAGTAGTTGAAGAAGAAAAAAAAGTAGTTCAAGAAGATGAAGACTCAAAAGCATCTGAGAATGGAGATGCCAAAGAAACCAAAGAAAATGGCTCAAATGAAGAAAAAGAGTCAGAAAGCAAGGAAGCAGAATCAACAGAAAATGGTGATTCTACAGGTAACATCGACATTGTATTAAGAAAATAAATATAGAAATATAAAGTTCTTAATTTTTTGATCAAATATTTAATAAGCATAAGTACATACTTGATAACAACTTTATTAAAAATAAACAATTTAAAATTATATAATTGAAAACAATAGAGGACTCAACTCATACTTATAACAACAGTATCAAAATATTTCTATCTGTAGATGCTTCCGTTGATAGCTGTTGCATAAAAAGGAAATCAACAGCTTTAAGTGAAACAACAGAAGATGCTGCCAATGATGGTGCCAGTCCTGAAAAGAAAACAAGACTTGATGAGAAGTGTGCTGAAACGGAAAGCAATGGGGATGCAGAATCTACGGCCTAATATTTTTTATGTTTACTGCAGATTTAATGTATAGATACAATTTTAACAGCTAACAGAGAAGTCACAACACCTAAAATTTGTTATCCATGCATCGTCATGACAGACGAGCATTAAAAACAGAAACTTCAATATTGTATTAATGACTTTTTGTGTTCAGACATTTATGTGTGTTTATTGCAACCGTTTTTTATGACTCTGATTGGCAGTAGTATATCTCTACAATATCGTCATAAATTACCATTTTAGATTACTACCATTCATGTTTCCTATATTTTCCATACTGATGTCCATACATAATAAATATTTTACGCACAGTGCTAAACTTATAAAATGAGAAAAATATAAATAATAATATATTTCTGATACATAAAAGTAGATAATGGTGTGGTGCTTGAGAAAGATATTTATGGAAAATATTCCATGCATAATTCTTATTCTTTCCGATGCACAGACATGAGAATACATAAATACCTTATATCGAAGATGAAAGAAACAATATTTGTTTGCAAATCAAAATACATTCCTGAAATATCTTGAAGCTGGTCCAATGTTTTTTTCTTTTTTAATTTTTTGACGAAATATGCAAATTGAATTTTATTTGTAATTTGTGACAAATATCTTTTCATGATATATATATGCACATGTGTACGTGTGACTTACAATTCAACCTTGAACAAAAATAGAAAGAATAATTAGATAAAGTATTAAGTGTTTGAATGCACTGTGATTAATACAATATATAACTTGACTGATTTGCAATTAAAATTTAAACAGTTTAATAAAAAGTATGTACTTTTATTAAATGATCAGAATATGTCATTTTTAAAATAATTCTTCTATTACAATAATGTAGGGTGCAATTTATAAATATTTTGTATTGAAATGTTAAATATGTGTAATAACTTATAGAAAAATACTGGTGAGTAAAAAACATTCAATGTTATTTGCAATAACAGTGATAGGAAATGCTGCGTTAATAACTCACTTTAATGAAAAGGTGCACATCTAAAGTTTGAAGTTTATGTGTGATTAAAGTAATACAATTATATACTTTTAAACAATAGAAAAGATGCAAAAATTAAAAGCAATCTAGTATATATTATACTAATATGATGAATTGGTTTATAATGTTAAACATAAAACTGCAACTATGTCATTATTAGTCTTCTTTAGTTACTATTTAGTACAAATTGTTTTCATACAAAGTACAATCAGAATAATCGTGTAATTTTATTTCTTATGTAATAAATATTGGCAAAATTATATAAGAGTACATAAAAACATATCTAATGACAAGATAAAGTTAATTTAAACACAGTGTTAATGTATTTATGTTAGCCTCTATATTTCTTATAATTTACAAAAGATATAAGATGGTTGTTATTAATAAAACTATTTGTGTACAAAATAATATATTTTTCGTTGTATATAATATTACAATTGATATATAATGCATAATAAAAGTTCGTTTGTAATTAATTTACGAAGCCTTAAAAACATCAACTTAACACTTTAAATAAATCTTGTTTATTAATTTCTTAATAATATTATTATTATTATTAGATATTTATTTTAAGAAAGCTATAATATTTTGTATTTAAAAATTCATATATTTGTATATTCATGGTTTAGCGTACTATTATAGTTTCGCTTTTTTATATTACGTTAAGTTTTTCTCAAAATATCTAATTGCATTATTTTAAAATTGATATTTGAAATTTGAACGAAATTATATGATTTACCTGTATGAATACAAAATCGAAATCTTTGATTCATCCAATACAAAACACTATTGTAATATTACTTAACAAGCATGTTTTTTACATAATACATTTTTTCTTGTATATGTATACACATGAATAATTACAATAATTTATGTTACAAATAAGATGAAAATTTTATAAATATTTTTAATATTTACAGAAATTTGAAAAAATATTTTCAGATAATATATAACGCCATCTATAGGGAAAACGAGAAATTTTACAGAATTTGACTAATTGAGAGGAGTGTAAATACCCTGACGGTACATTTTGTTTATTTGAATTGTATGATTAGTATTTAAACATACAAGTTTATGGCATAGTGACACATTTAAAAACTAATTTTATCTCATAGTGTTGTTTATATAATTATATAAAATGAATACAAAACCGACCTTTTCCAAACCTGGTAAGTATAATTTTTTCTAAGTTAGCTATCCATACATTTAAAATTAAATTTTTTTATATAATAGAAATATATTTTTCTTTTGATTACAAACGATTTTTAAATAATATTAAATGTTTATTTAAATTTATGTTATAAATTTAGTTCTAGCATATATAATTATTATACAACATAACCTATAATTTTAATATTTATTTTATATACTATGCATTTATATATGCTACATTTACATATGTTTATATGCATATTATATTGAAAAGAAATTTACATATATTTCATAATTTTTTAAATTATAGGAGATAATACATGGCAAGAAGATAAGCCAGATATAGAAGCCCATTCGTCAACACAATTTGTATACAATGCACACCATTCACTTGCACTTAATATGCAACGTCAACGACTACCCATATTTAAGTATAAGAGTCATGTCATTTACTTACTGGAAAAATATCAGACATTAGTGTTAATTGGTGAAACTGGATGTGGAAAAAGTACGCAACTACCTCAGGTATGTTCCTATTTTAGAATCCTTTTCATTGCATAGGAATATAAAATTTAAATAAATAACATTATGACAAATTTGTCTATATATAATAATGTTATTCTACATAAATTGAAGACATTTTACAATATAATGACATGTTGGTACACACATTTTTGCTTTTGTAATTATTATGTAATATATATATTTTTATAAAGATGTTTTTAATATTTTACTAATTTTTCATTTCTTGTTTAAATTATTTTTTTTTCAACATTTAAAATAGGTGTATTATATTTTTATGTATTCGCAAATAATTATAATTTTGCATATGATTTTGTTAATTACGCTTCTTATATGTATTAAATTTACTTATTTATATTTTATTTACATAATATGAATACAGCTTTAAAAAACCGCGTTTCATCTTGTGCATTCCGTCGTCGCCATTGCAATAATATTGTTAAGTAAGCTAATAAATACTCTGTCGCTGCAGCGGCGACATAATAAGATAAACTATGACTCCGCTGTTGCCACAGCGCTGACATCTAGAAACTGAAATGTATTTTAAAAAATTTAAATAAAATATTTTTTAGTTTTTCATAATTGACTCTTTTGTTACATTGTATAAATTATTTCATGTTTAAAAATTGCTCGAAGTGCAAAGAGTTAATAGAAATTTCAATAATTTATAAATTTGCGCACGCGCTGTAGAAAGATTGTATTGTATCGTCATTCTATTATACTCAAACAAGATCCGACAGTACTTCATTATGTGTTCAAAATGTGATATATGTTAGTGAAATTTACCGGTACCAGTATTTTCGACGAAATTATTGTTAACAATTTAGTGAACTACCATGTTGTACAAGAAAATGTATTGTGGAATAACAGTTTTTGTGATTAGTTGGTATATTATTGAACAATTAAAAAAGGAAGTTATCTGACAACTGTGCCATTAACTACAAAAAAATGGTCATGTTATTTTGATAAACATTAAACTATACATTAAATGAGTTATTTAAAATGTTTTTTAAACATTCGAATGGAACATACTAACATGATATATTAATCGATTAAAATAGTACATTCGGAATCTGTAAGATTTCATGTAACCATGTAGAGTCACTCCACACTAAGCATCCTTGAATATTGCAATATTTTTCGTTGCGGAGTAAAGTACTGTTAATTATAATGATAATACTGATGAATTCATAATTATACACGAATAAAATATGGAAATCATCGAAAATAAATGAGTTAATTACGTAATGAGTTCAAAAGTTAAACGAATGTACCTTTCAACTGTGATATGCGAGTCATTACATCGAAAAAGTGAATATTACAATAATATTATTGTTTTAAAATAATAAATAAATGTGTTTCTTTTATTCATATTACATTAAAGAAGTATGTACAACTAAATTACTGATATAATAGGTGAAGTTATTGCTAATATCTAATAGCAGTGTGTATTACATTAATTAATTACATATCCATCATAAATGTAAATCCATTATAAAAAAGAATGTAATAATATAAGAATCATAACATGAATATATAACAAAATATATTTACTAATATATTATAAAAACGTGCCAAATTTACATACAAAATGTTTGGTTCAACGACTCTAATAAACAGGTCATTCCTTGCAATTTTGATAATATTGACATTATACTTCCTTGGAATGGACCTTTTATTGTATTCTAGAATACAAAATTATGATGTAAGACCTACACCAAATGGTACACAATATGTCTCTATCATACCATGTGATTTTAATCCGTTATGTACAGTGACTGTAAAAGGATTAATGCTTGATCATCCAAATTATTTTCTTTTGAGTCCTTTGGCAGCTGTTATGGATGATTTATTGCATATAAGCACTTCTTGGACGTGGGTGACACCAAATACAATCAGTTGTTTTCATGTATTAATAGCAGTGATGGCTGGTAAATGTGTTTCCAGTGATTTATTATCTTATAGACGCTTAGGTGTAATACTTTTTCAAGCAAGAACATGGTTAGATGATTTAGATGGACATGTTGCTAGAAAAAGAGCACATATTGATGGTGAACGATCAGATGTTGGTTCAACTGGTTATATCGTCGATGGAATTTGTGATGCTTTGGGTTGTCTTGCTTTAATTATTGGCCTATATCAATTTCTTGCTCATAATTCGACTAGACGTGGAGGATATGATAAGCTACCACAACTTCCTGTATCTTCAGTTCTAGAACCTGGAAATGTAACTTCGAAAACTTCAAATGCAGCACTTCGTAATATATTACTTATGACCGTCCATTTGTTCCTCACCAGTGCCGCCTGGAATCGATATATATCTTTATACCAAGATCTTCTTGAGACTGAATATAGAACACCTTCAATTAGTAAAGAACATCTTTATGCTAGACAGACAACTATATTCAGAAGCTTGTCCTTTTCGATAATTGTTCTTTGTTGGAAGTTTATGAATTTTCATGCTGTCATGGATTATCTACTTTTAGCAATATATTTTGATCGTATGCGAGAATATATCAGGCTTGTAAGATGGTCTTCATATGTTATTGTATTATTACTTGTCTATGTAACTGAATTTCATTTCTTACGGGCCTATACATATATACAAGATGTACCATCAGTGATTGATGAAGAAATATCTTCATCTGATGTTTTCACTCAAGGATGACAGTGTGAATTTTGGAAAACATTGTTTTCTACATTTATTCATTACCGGTGATACATAATAATTAGGGAGACTATTGTATCCTGAAATTTGCAAAGTTATTTGTCTATGAAAATAATATCTTGATAAAATTTTTTGTATTTTCTATTTTTCTGCATGTATTTTATATAAATACCAGACTGATATATGAAAAAATGTGTATAATCCTTTAAATGACAAGCTAATAATATTTTATTTTAACTTAGTTTCAAAATTTATAATATTAATGATTTGTTATAGCTAAAATTTTTAGATTATGAAATTCCAATCATTTGAGTTACTTGTATGTTATAATGAATAGTAATTTAATTAGAAAATTCATGCATTATTCTTTTGAAAGAAAAATTAATAGTAATTAGATTTAAATCATTAAATATTTAGTATGTCTGCCTCTTTGATTAAGTATTTATGTAGTACATTTTGTGTTTGCAAAAATGTATTATATTTATTAATTTATTGTTTAAATATCATGAATTACTAATTTCAGTGATATATAATTTTATATTGGCAAGATATTTCATATTTATTTCACTTATCCATGTAAGGGATTAATGTTGATATCTAAACACATAATGATAAAAGATAACATATGTTATTGGAAAAATCAATGGCTGTCTACTTATTCATTTTATCAAATTTTGTTAATGTACTTTATATATCTATAGAGCAAATTGAAATATGAAATTATAATTATTATGTTTGTCGGTTTTATCATTTAATCTAAATAATGACATGTAAGTTGCGTGTATTATATTCATGGTATAAATATGTATTTATGTTAAATATACAAATAATATATGTTGATATGTGATAATTATTATTACTAAGTACATCAAAGTATAATTTTGTATTTTTTACTCGTAATAGTTACGACCTTTTACCTTTTTGCCTTTTGCCTAGAGTTACTCATTGTTAGTTATAGCACTTGTAAGTTTGCCGAAGTCACGTTATAGACTTTTAACATACATAAGCTGTTATAACGAGCCTTCAATAAAATCCGATATAAATATGACATTATACCATAAAGAAGACATAATACATGTAATATTCTTCCACTACCGGATTATGCGCTAAGATTAAAGTTCGTAGGTTCTGTTCTTGATGTAGAGCTTCCCGCTAAATTTGAGAAGCGATAAGTGCATTTAACAATGTACTGATCAAATTTGTTAAATATAAACTTCAATTATTTAAGATATGGTGTTATTTATTGTTAGCCTCGCATATATTTATAAGATTTATAAGATCGTCGGTTACTACCGATGTTACAAATAAAATTTTATACTATGTATATAAATAAATTTTTTTTGCAGAACATATTTAATATCCACTTAAAAATTATATACCCAACATAAAAGAATTATATTATACAATAAGAAAAATAATTTTTACATTTACAAGGATATAAATTATAGTATAACTTTTTTGTATCTGTCATATGTTTTAATATTCCTTGTTTCAAAGAATCTTATTATGCTCTTTTTGTAGTATTTCTAATTTCTGCCTCTTATTATAGTTGATTAAATGAAAAAATTAGGTTAATATTAATAAAGTAAAAAGAAGTGTTTCAAAATCAGCATGTTTTTCTAATCCATATAATATTGGAGAATATGTTTACACCTTTTTAATCGATCTTTTGAAATGTGTAAAACAAAAATAAAATTACATCTGTTTAAGTCGTTACTAATAATTCTTACTAATATTTCTACCAATATACATTATTAATAAATATAAAATAACTATTGAATGCATTTTACAAGAATCGTTTAAAATAAAAAGTAACAATGATCTTAACCATCTCGACAAAAAATATTTTTCAAGGAAAACTAAGGAAAACTCTAAATTATTCGATCTTTACTTGGCATATTTTTTTCATATTTATAACAATAATGGAAATATTTATTATATTACTTTAGCAATCTTACATTTATTATTACAACATTTAATATATTACGGAATATTGTATATTTATTTTATAAAATGATTACAGTATCTTCTTGAAGCAGGATGGTGTGCAGATGGAAAAATGATTGGCATCACGGAACCGAGAAGAGTTGCGGCTACTTCCTTAGCTAATCGTGTTGCTGATGAACGTAATTGTATTTTAAGCACGGAAGTTGGTTATTCTATACGTTTTGATAACTACACAAATGAAACTACAAAGATCAAGGTATTATTTTAACTAAAGCAAGGAGAAGGACACTTCGATGTGTAATCTGTAATTATTACAAAATAATGTTTTTTTTTTTTTTTTTAAATAGTTTATTATGTTTAAGAAGTACATATAAGATATGTTGAATCAGCTGTAAGAAATTTATTAAATTACTCTTTTTTATATTGTTCATAGTACATGACAGAGGGAATTCTACTTCGTGAATTAATGAGTGATCCTTTACTAACAAGTTATTCCGTAATTGTAGTAGATGAAGTACATGAAAGGACACTTCTTACCGATATTATTATGGGACTTTTAAAAAAAATTATTCGGGTAATTGATAGTTATAAACTTATATATACATTTAAACTTAAATAAAAGATGCGTTAAATATACAAAAATTGTCTTGTTTCAGAAGCGAAAAAGTTTACGAATCATCGTTTGTTCTGCTACGGTCGATGCGGAACAACTTCGAGATTTTTTCAATGCAAATACAACGAAGGATTTGACGAAAGATACTGCGGTTATACTTACTGTCGAGGGTAGACTTTATCCAGTAGATATTTTCTTTATAAAAGGTATATTTGCATACGTAAATAAGTTAGTTCGCCATAATTAATGTATTATAATATATAATGTATAATATATTTTTATTTTCTACTCTGACTTTTTATTTGTTTCAGTCTCTATCTCTATCAGTTTTCTAGAATGATTTTCGATTTTGTACAATTCTTGCATCACGTATAGATTGATATTATAGTTAGGTTCGATTAATTTATTATATTTCTGCATTTTGTTTTAGAACCAGTAGCTAATTATGTGACCAGTGTTGTAAATACTGCTTTAAAAATTCATGAAAACGAAGAACCTGGAGATATTTTAGCATTTCTTACGGGTTTGGATGAAGTAGATCAGGCAGTTTCTCTTTTATCAGAGCATGCAAAACTCATAAAAGAAGGCAAACGTGTGTAGAATTTAAAATGATACCATCATCGCCGTTATTCTGTTACATAACTGTTGAAGGTTTAATATAGATCTTATCAACGCTTTGTATTGCTCTTTTTCAGTGAAACTTTTACCTCTGGCTATGTATGGATCTCTTCCGAACTCAGAACAACTGAAAGTATTTTGGAGAGCTGCCAAAGACACTCGTAAAGTTATCGTAGCTACGAACATCGCAGAAACATCTATCACTATTCCAAATATCGTTTATGGTACGAGTTTAGTACAATTTTATAAAACATTGATTTTATTATTTATGCCCTAAATAAAATATAATTCATGTTATTATCTAAATATAACAATGAAAATTTATTTAAAAAAATATATATTTAAATTTTAATCTAGTTATTGACTGTGGTTTTGTAAAAATTCCGTGGTATGAGACAGAAACACAGACGAATTCTCTCGTGATTGTTCCGGTATCCAAAGCTTCCGCGGATCAACGTGCTGGTCGAGCAGGACGTATCCGAACAGGAAAAGCATATAGGTATACACGTTGTGCAAACATTCAAATTGCTTAAAAATTTATTAATTATTTAATTGTTGGTTCATATTTTCATGTTTTTCAAAATTTCATGTAAAACCTAGATTGTATACAGAGGAAGCATATGCAGAATTATTTGAGACAACACCACCAGAAATGCAACGCTCCGACCTAGCACCAGCTATTTTGCAACTGAAAGCTTTAGGAATTGATAATGTACTAAGATTTAATTTTCCTTCTGCCCCACCAAGTAAAAATCTTCTCAGTGGATTAGAACTACTTTATGCATTAGGGGCAATTGATAGTAATGGAGAATTAACAACACCTTTAGGTATGACAATGGCAGAAATGCCATTAGAACCTGTTTTGGCAAAATCTCTTATAGTATCAGGTAAAATTTTTAATGAATTATAATGAAAAAACATTACAACTATGCATATAACATATAATTATCTTGATTTTATTGAAAAATTTATAAATTAGTTTCATTTGTTCATAGGTGAAATGGGATGTTCTCAAGAATTATCAACAATTTTGGCAATGCTTCAAGTACAAAATGTTTTTATAAGACCAGCAGGAGGTCAAGCTGCTATAAAGGCAAGAATAGCACATAGAAAGTTCGAAGTTGAAGAGGGTGATCTATTAACATTACTTAATGTATATATTGGTTATGAAAAAAATAAAACCTCTAGTTGGTGTCAAAAACACTTTCTTAATAATAAAGCGTTACGTAGAGCTACAGAAATTCGAACGCAAATGCATTCTATGATGAAGAAATTAAATATACCACTAGTTTCATGTAATGGTAAATTAAGCATAAGACAGAATAGTTTTACATATATTGTGAATTATAAATATTTTTTATTAATAGCTTTTTCATCGTTTTCTTTTAGGAAATTTACAACAAATTTTAAAATGTATAACCGCAGGACTTTTTCCAAAAGCGGCGTACTTACATTACACTGGAGTATACAGGACAGTACGTGGCTGCAGATATTTATATGTACATCCAAATAGTTGCTTATATACACTCCAGCAACCTCAGTGGTTTGTATAATAACAATAATTTATATTTTTATTGTAATGTTGATTTATATTAAATTAAATTTTTATCTTTTTGTTCAAGGGTACTGTTCTGTGAAGTTTTGCAAACAAATAAAACATACATGAAAGACATTACTGTGATACAATCAGAATGGTTACTAGAATTAGCACCTCACTTTTATGAGAAAACATCTCTTGATCCTATTTAATATAATTTTTATATGTATTTAAAATGATAATATATTAAAGAATAAGTTTAATTAATATAAAGTTTAATTTTAACACTTTCCTTTAAGTTAATAAATTTTTATGTAATAATACTAATATATCAATATATATATGTATATGTATATATATATTTATTCAATGTTTTTCCAAATTTGAATATTAGAACATCACAAACGTAGAGCCATCTATCGATAAAGTAGTACAATGTTTTTATCTTAACTAACACTAAACAAACTCCTTAGCTTATATTATTCTTTGCTCCTATCGATGTTACCGATGCCAAAAAAAAAAAACGACATACTCTGATAAAACCTGTAATTAAAGTGAAAAAAACAGATATTGAATAATTTTATATATTGAAAAAAAAGTTAGAGATAAAACGTCTAATACTTTTAATTTATTTTAAAGTGACAAACATTTTTGTATTTAAGAAGACGCATGGCTACAATAAGGACGCGATATTAACCTTAATTTTGTGATACCTGCTTGAAATCGTGGAAACGAATGGCATGGCTAAAATAGTTGAATCATTAGAAAAATTAAGTGTTGAACATGATACGCGTGAACATGATAACAATCGAGTCGTCAAAAGAAAAAGGGAGTTAACATCATCGATAGAAGAAGCAGTATCTGTTGACCATAATTATATTCTTGCTGTCTGTGGAACACAAAGGCAAATCTTGTTTTTCCTTATGGAGCATTTTACGCCAAATCTATTTTAAAAAAAGTATGGTACTCCTTAATTACTACTATTTTAAAATTTCTCGAATGTTTACTCAAATTACATTCACAAATATTTATTATATAGTGCTATGTAATTTTCCCTCCATTTTATTTAAATGTGTTTTTTATTATGTACACAAAATTGATTCTTTTAAGCTTTGACTTATTACATGTAGTGTTTTTTTAAGGGTTTTATCTAGAAAATTAGCATTGTAATAAATGAAATATATTTAATTATTTAGTTATTTTAGTAACATAATTTGTTAATTTATGATGTATTTCGTTATTTATAAAATCACAGATATTGCTTTTATAGTAACAAAAATATATTTAAAACTCATTTTAATATTAGATTTAGATTTGGCGTAAATTGTCTCATAATTATAATACTTAAAAAACATCTTCAAAATATCTTATAAATTAATCTTTCATGTACAGTGACCCAGAATTTAGAATTGGTACTGCTTTATCTGATCATACTTGTGTAATATATTCTGTTGGGGAGAGTTTAAATCAGATCTTTACATTAACTCACAATCAAGCACCTATTGTTGGTATTAGATTCAGTCCTACTTCTAGAAATATTTTATATACAGCTACAAACAATGGACAAATTACAGCATGTGACTTGCGAGCTAAAGGCAAAGTTATTGCAAAGTTTACAGGCACGTATTAACAAATATATCAGAAGAAATCAATTTAAGTTTATATTTGTTATAATTTAAATAAATATAATATCTAATATATGTATTTCTTCTTTTTATTTTTAGATATTACCGATGATGGTAAAACAAAACCTCTTTGTAGTTTTGATGTTAGTTGTAATGAAAAGCTTATAGCAGGTGGTTCTGAGCATATTGGGGGAGATGCATTTATTTTATTTTGGGATGCTCGACATACTAATTCAAAATTGGATGATAAAAATAATCTCCTTGGTGGGTACTGGCAATCTCATGTGGAAGATGTAACCTCTTTGGCATTTCATTCTAATAAGCAAGATGTCTTAGCATCTGGTAGTACAGATGGGCTGATTAATGTCTTTGATCTCTCACAGCCAACAGAAGATTCTGCATTAACTTATTCCTTAAATACTGAATCATCTGTGGTGAGTTAATATTTTTGGTGAAATCTAAAATGTATTCATACTATAAACTAGATTAAACATTTTTTAAACAAAAGGATAGGATAGGCTGGTTAAATGATAATAATCTTTGGTGTACAACACATAATTCACTACAACTTTGGGACTATGATGGAGCAACCCCATATGCTAAATTTGGACGCAATAATTTAGCAGTTTCACAAGTTAGTACAATAATTTATAGTGTCATTGATATTTAGGCAAAAGTTTATACAATATTTATGTATAACCTATTTTATAAATTTCACATGATTTATATTATCTTTTTTAGAATGATGATCCAGATGATTGTTATATAGTCAGATTTCATGCTTCAAATGCACTTGGACAACCATTCCTTTTAGCAGGTTGCAGTTGTGTTAAAGGGTAAATTACAATATAAATAAAAAATTTAATAAAAAAAAAATAATATAACATCACAATTAATTATATCTTTAATAGCATTAATTGCATACTTAAAACGAATAATTAGTTTTACATATTTATATATTTTTCATGTTTATTTTAATCATTTTAGGGAAAGTTTGAGATGTTTAAATGTCATAAATGATCGATTAGAAACATGTTATAACATGGTAGGAAATAAACAAATAGTACGTGATAGCTGGCTACATGAAAAGGTATAGTTTTAATATAAAATACAAATTTTTTTCATTTTAATATAATGAGTATTTTAATACTATTTTCAGAGTGGTTCTTTAATAACAGTAGGTGAAGGTGGACTTATAAATATTTGGAGGCAAACTGAAACCATGTCTATTGAACAAAATTTAAGTCATAAATTAGTGGCGAAAATTGGCACTAGTAAAGCACATGATCGTCAGCACAGGACCAAGCCATATTAAATTAAAAGTGATAGGATAAAGATTTGTAAATGCAAAAAGAGTTTTTGTAAGTAAATATAATAAACAGAAGAGAAATATTACGTAACATTAACATAATCGTACATTTCCCTTACGTTTTTCTTTATTACAATAACAGTTTTATGTACATTTATAATAAATAGATAGTATTTCTTTATGCGGTTAATGATTTAACGGCGATTTATGTATCAATCGAAAAATGTAGCATATGTATATATAAACGTTAAGGAATGTAAATCACATATCAGTGTATATATCTGTATAGAATTGAAACAGGAAGAAAAATATCGTAAATATTTGTTTACTCTTGCCAAGTAACAGATTAATTTCTACGGATCGCCTTCCGGAAAAATGATTTTATTTCGCAATATAAGGAGATATTAAAATAGGAGCTTATGACGTGCATTTGTTATAAAATAGACGCATTTAGCGTATTGTGAATAAATGGTAATCTTGATAAAGTAATCAAGCAAATAACACAATAACAATTATTATTAGCATATAACCGATGTAACGGCCTTTAGTTTAAAATTGGTAAACTCTAAGAGAATTAATGCTGATATATCAAGTGAACGCGTTTTAAAACAAATACGCGTCTACCTATTAGATATAATTTTACATTAACGTTTCCAAAGACGATCGCAGTAGCGAGTATCACAATGATAACAGTAGATATAGTTTTAGAGTAAAATAGTAGGTACAGAGTAAACGTACAAAAATACTTCCCATGAGCGTCAGGGACGTAAAGATTCACTAAAACGTGGAAAACCGCGTTGCTAATAATTCTTTATATCCTTTCTTAAACTTATGCTGTCCAATGACATCAAATATCTTAGATGCCACAAGACGCATGTAGGCCGCCGCACTACTCCTTAGTTGTTATTCCAATTTGATTCTCCGCGTTACCCTGAAGATGGTGTGCGACTTCATTGCACGAGAATAATATTTAATAACAATACATATTAATTGTATTAAGCTGTATTTGACATAGTGCAACATTCTTATTGTATATAAAGAATACATTTCTAATATATGTAATTGTATTATCTGTATTATTTATAATATTTATCTGGAATGAGTTTTTGGAATTACGTTCCAATATTAAAATTTACTTTTTATGTTCTTATATGTTTCATGTTTTTCTTATGAGCATCGTGACATTAAGAATGTTTTAATTTGTATTAAATTTTCTTGAAATGAAGTCGAACACTCATCCATAAAGGCTACTAACAGGTTAATACAATATCATTTACGAGCTGATATATGCCCGACATTTTTTTTTCTTTTTTTTTTTTTTTTTTTTTTTTTTTTTTTTTTTTTTTTTTTTTAGCGATAGACTTGTAAGAACTCAATTATGTTTTTTTCTCACGCTTTACATCTTACGGAAATACTTTTAAGAACTATTGTCACCACGATTGATTGAGACAAGTTGATAATATTACTTATGTTTTCTTATGAAGATAAATTAGTCACAATTTTATCATCGTGCCTCGACGACGCTGTCTTTCTATTCGATCATATTGCACGCTACAGCATCTTTTGAGACAAATACGTGCACAATCTAAATACATATACGTATCAAAAGAAAAAATTCAGAATTTATAACGAAGATCTACATTTTAGAGCCACATTTTCGAGATTCCCTTTCATCTAACATCTTAGACGTGCAGTATGATCAATCTTTGTATAATACTTTCTCTGGAACACGTTTCATTTCCACGAAATACTCAAGAATTCTCTTCATGAAAAAAGTCTCATATAAATAAAATAGTTTAAACGATCAAAAATTATTAATGATCTTACATAATGCAATAAATAAAATAGCTTGTATGTCATTAAAAAAGGAAAAAAAGTTACAGATTAACGATAATGGCAGTGAATAATCTTGAAGAAAAATATCAAATATAAAACGTCGCTTGGATTACTATTGATCCAATTAAATTAAAAACGATTCATATTTATTATGGGAATGATGTCACGAAATTCGGAAAATTAACGATTTCGATTTGTGGCTTGGCACACATAATAGCAATGCATTATTATTAATAATAGATCTTACCCGTCGTTTTAGCACGTATTAAAATACTTTTAAAGTTATGGTATAAGAAAAGCTACCGCGGTCACTCACGCATTCGGACACAACATGCGTACACATCTACAAATACATACATATACGTGTCACAAAATGAAATTATTAGGTACGAGCGTACATTCATTAAATTTCATTCATATGCACGCATATACTTTCGCACATTATTCTCAACATACGTACACGTGATGTCATACATATGTCATGAAAAAGTATATCTATATACACATTCATGTATATGCAATCCTAATGTAATGTATTTTCTCTAACTTGCACTTCCAGCAAGTTGCAACAGATTTGCTTAAAAGATTCGTCTAAAATCATGTCTCTAAAATTGTCAGTCGGCTTAATAACGTAACGAGTAAGGATTTAACAAGATCGGCTGATCTGTCTCACTAAGCCGGCCACTTGAATATTTTTTCTCGCAAATATTTCTGAGCACTAACTGTTATCTTTTTATTTGTCCACATATTTTATAGTTATTTTTCTTTTATAGTAGATTCTGTGAGAATTTGCATAAAAATTATATTATTGCCCTCAGTAGCAGTTGAAAAGTAACTATCCTTTATTAATTTATTGAGAATAATATGTATATCCTTTTTTTATTGACAGTCACACTATTATTATGGACACCTTAAATGCATCACTTATGTACTATGTTGCATATTAATGTACAACACGAATAAAATTGACAAGGAAAGAGAAAAAGATAAAAGAGAAAGATACGAAAATATAAGAAAAAGTAAAGAGAAAGAATAAAAAGAAGGAGGAAGAAAGAAAAATAGAAAGTAATAGTAATCACGAAGAAGATGGAAATAATACAAAATTTTTACCGAGAAAATGTTGAAAGTCAAAATGATTTTACACGACTTCTAGGTTGAGCATCTTTTGATTGGCTTCGGGAAGGAGTTAATGTAGAAGTCGGGGTAGCTTCACCAGTTGTAGGGCGAGAAGATCGAGAATGTTTTCGACCAAAACGAAAGAGACGTCAGAAAAAGATTACCTCCTCTTCTAAAGGTTGTTGCTGTTCTGTTCGTTGATGCTGTTGCTGATGTGAATATTCTGGAGGTGATCGTGTAATTCGAAGTGAACGATTTGAGGAATGAGTTTGACTTGTACCAGCATGATTATTCCCTAATTCTGGCGAAGAATATGTAGATCCAGTTACAATTGCTGGGCTACTTCCTGTTCGTGAATGTCGATCCGGGCTGTTGTTACTCGTATTTCCACTTCTATTTTTATCATGTGAAAAATGCATTATTAGAATATGTCTAATACTAATTGGTAAACGTTTTATATTTTAAACAATTATATGATTTTTAATTAATATTTACACATACCTAGTATTATTGTTGCTTCCACTAGCGAGTTTTAAAGGCAATTGTTGTTTAACTGGAAGATTACTTTGCACTTTTTGCTGATTAGTTGCACTAATTAAATTTAACGGTATTCGTTTAGTATCTGGCTGTGATTTTCGTGTTTGCACAGTATCATTTCCTTGTGTCAAATGAGATAAATGAATAGTTGTAGAACTAGGTGCAGAGCCTGTAACTAATGTTACCCCTTGTCGTTCCAGAGCCTCAAGTCGTCGATATAATTGATCTCGTTGCTGTGTAACATCTCTTTGTTCTGCTGCTAGTTGTTCTCGTTGTCTCGCCAATTCAGCTCGTTCGTCTTCTAGTTGTTTTTGTTCTTGTTGAGACGCGACACGAAATGCTGCTTTCTCTCGACTTAACTGATCTTGTAAATTACGTAATTCTTCTAACTGACGATTTGGATTAGGTCTATTATTTGATTTACCCATACTTCCTTCTTTACATGCAGCTAATTGAGCCTGTAGACTATCGACTGTTGTCATTTGATTACTAATTATACAGACCAACCTATAAACATGGTGAGATAAACGAATCGCTGCCCACTGCTGATCTTTATTTATTTCTATATCTTGACTTCCTTTTTCCTCTGGACTTTCCTTCATAAATTCACTAACTTTTGGAAGAGAGATTACAGAATGAATTGCAAATTCTCGTAATGGATACTTTTCCTAAAGAAAAATGGCAGTTTTAGTCATGTAACTTTGGTTTTAGTTGTTAATTATATATTTACTTTATTGTGATCGAAACCCGCAAATGTTTCAGCTCTTCGAGGAACACAAAGAGCAGATGGAACATAGGCCTCACTATGTCGTTCTCCCGCAGAACTTAAACTTCTCGAAAGAGTAGCACCACCCGCACTAAACGATAATGAACTAGCAAGTTTTGTTGCTTCTTGAATAGCCGCAACTACCTACAAATAAAAATTATCATTTCAGCACTAATTTATATAGCTTATGTAACTCTACCAGTATTTTGTATTCAGTTAAAAATAAAACCAAAATATATATAGCTTAAATATAGAAATTGTATAAGAAATAAAATGTAAGAGAAAGACTATAATTACCTACTACTTTTACATCTTAAAATATTTTATATATTTGTCGATACAACTCTAACATTATGTTGGATTTATTGCAAATAATTTCCATTGTAAAATACTCTAATTTCCATAAATATAATTTTAATTTACTAAATATAACTTATTTTAAAAGAGAACATAAAAATTATTTATTTATTGTTGTCCTAAGACAATATTACTAAAAGAGAAAGGTTAATATCATGTCATTTCATTTCTGGCAAAATATATATAGAAACTTTGGATTGGACATTCTCTTTACTTATAATTTAATTTAAAAATATATAGTAATACAAAATAGTGTAACCTCTTGTCGTAATTGTGTGGTATCTGTTCTTTCATTGTGGACTAATCTAGTATAATCTAGAATTTCTTTATCAACTTTTTCTATTCTTTCATTATCACTACTTTCATTTCCACTCCAAATGTTTGCAGCTTGTAGAAGTTGCATTTGTAAATTGATTTTTTCTTCTAATAATAATGCCTGTTCTGCGTCCTTCTTATGCAGTTCATCTAATTGCAATAATACAAAATTATTATTCTTAATTCAAGTTTTGTTAGTAAAATATATCTATAATAATAAAATATCACACATACCAACTATCTTCAGAACATGTGATTCCTTAGTTTTAACTAAACGTTGTCTTTCTTCAACAGAAAGTAACGATATAGAAGAGGAACGTGTATCTCTTAATTCATTATTATTATTGTTTTCAGTTAATATATCAGTTTCATTCTCAGGTTCTTGTGGACAGGCTTCAACTGCTGATCTAATTGCTTGTATCCATAATTGTTTGTCTTTGGGTTTTTGAATTTTTAACTCGAACATTTCAGGTTCAGCTGGATTGCTACTTATTAAATAGATTCCTCTAGATTCTTGACCTGCTTTTTCACGAACTAATAATTTTTGAAGTGATACTATACCAGCCTTATTGTCAGGCACAAAAAATGCATACTTCTGATCTCTTTCAGCCAAGAAAAATAATATGTCAGAAAGAACAACCACTACAATGGCAGTCATTTTTCCACGACCTTGCATTAAATATGCAGTACCTTCGAATTTTAAAATTCTATTAGATGCCATGATACCTGACTTTTTGAACTTGATACCACGATATGTTGCAAAAGATTTTGCATCAATCCTAAACAATAATAATAAAAGACATGTTATTAATAGTAACAAAAAAAATTATAAATATATTTTACAAAATATATCATTTTCTTACTTATTATATATTTCTAATTTTCTGTCTTCTCTTTCCTTATCAGCTACACACGCATCAACATCGGCTAAAATTTCTTTAACGAGAATCAAGGCTTTGCGTAAATCTTCACCTTCTTCTTGAGCAATACCTGTTTTTATGAGTGGTTCAACTAACAACGGGTATTTTGTTAAACGTTGCGTAACAAACAAAATACACTCTGGAATTCCTTTCTTCTTCAACAAAGGATGTGACTACACAAACATTAATCACGTGTACCTCTATGTTATTGTATTAAAAAAATGTACAATAAACAAAAAAATAAATTCTATTATAGCTACCTGACATTGACGCACGAACCGTGCAAATCGAGGATCATGACGCAAATAATACTTGTAAGCTTCAACAGCATCCCTATGACGGCTACAAAACTCTCCATAGGCACTCTTCATACGTTGTGCATTCTCTCCAGAGAATTGATCCACTAGTATATCAGCAATTGTAGGAACAACAGGATTTGTATTTTGTCTCTTACGTAATTTTTGTAAAAACCGTAAATGGATATCAATAAGATCACGGAGCCTAGGAAACATGCGTTCCAGATCTGGTTGACCCAAACGAAAATGCCGTCGAAGACCTTCCGCGAAAATTCTTTCCATAGCGAGAAGTACTAAACAGTGATGTTTTTCCGTAAGTACAAATTCATAAATATGTTCTTGTCTTTTTACTTTTCGTTCACAATTATCAGCTAGTCGTAATGCAACATTATGTCCAATAGCAGCGCTCCAGGAGTCAGGTTCTTCCTTAGGTAGGCCTAATTCAGGATCCAGACCTTCAAGATCACCTACTGTGAATTGATAAGTATCATCTCCAAGGTCGAATCCTTCCAATCCACTAGAATATAATATTAAACAAAAAACTTTTATAAATTAATTATTTTACGAAAAAATAAATTCAATAAAAAATTTAACAATAAAAGTTTTACAAACCTGGATATATCACGATGCTGCCCATCTCCATCTTTTTCCTCATTTATTGTTTGGCTGGAAGGAAAATATAATTCCACAGTTTAAAATATTTTTTTTCACAATAAATAAATATTGTTCATTGTAATTTGTAATTAAAATTAGTTTAATGTTGCATTTTTAATGTACATTTTAATGTTATAATATGTTGCTTATTCATAGATATGACAAATTATACATATGTAACTATATTCTTACTGTCATTTTGATATTACCTTTTATGTAAATGTGATCTGCAATGCAATACCTATATTGCCTATTTTTTTATAAATATATTTCTGTATATTTCAATTATGTGTCTCCTATATGAGTTAATCAAGACTATTTAAGAAAAAAAATAATCTTGAAAATTCCATTTTCTAGAATCGATTTAATGACATATCTAATATAATTTATAATTTTGAATTATAAATTACAAATAATGGTAAATTAAATAGGGAGCTACCAGAAAATGAGTAGTTATTTGTATTTAGGCCGGGTAAGACACTAGATTTACACCCTAAGTATTTATTATATTCATTTCATTTACTTCATTTGTTAATAAAATATATGAAAAAATTTGGTAGTTGTCTAAATCACAATTTTCTCAACCCGACCCAAAGTATTTATTATTAATAAGTTTCCATAAAATGATATTTTACATGAATGAACACTGTTGAATGTAGATTCAAGATACACTTAATAACATGGAAAACACTATAAACAAAGCTACAAGTTCATACTATGAAGAGAAAGTCAAAATAGAAGGTAACAAAGAAATTTATATCAATTGGAAATGTGAGTATTAAATATTCATTCCTGATAATGTTTGATAAAGGAAACTGTTTAATCGTTTAGTAATTGTAAGTTTATATTATAATGATTGGATGAAGTTACAACGAGGTGTACACACAAAATATGTCATTGAATGATCATAAATAATAGAAGCAAGCATATTAGAAGCATAGGCAGGGGCTAGGTGATGTCTCTGTCAATACAACACAAAGCGGCAATTCAATTGCCTTTTGAACAATGTGTGCAAGAAAAGAATCGAGGAACGATAGTCGCGGGTTATCCTACTGCTGTGTAGGATTAATACACGAACAGAACGAACGCTTCGACAGAATAGGAGGAACACATCAGACATCTGAGACTTACTTGACTCCGAGCTTAGTAGCAACTCGCCGCCAAGGGCTGTAGCTTGTCACGGCTTTCTTGCTGTTAATTTCCCTTTAATCGTCGAACAATCGATCGGTTTGTCGTTGCACGAGAGGGAATGCACGGGGGAAGGAAAAAGCACACACTGCATTAGGGCAACCTCATTTTGCCTTTTGTTTCCCTTCCTTCTTCAGTATTCTTACTCTATTACGTTTTTCAGTTTTTATATATTTAATAATTTCTTATATTTTCTTATATGTAAGAAATTATAATTTTATATTTTCTTATATGTAAACATTATTTTTCCAGAAACATATTTTATCATAACATAAAATATATTGTGCAGTGTTAAAAAATATGTATATACCTCCTTTTAATTGTGCGATTTTATCAAATTACTATTCACTTACTAATAATAATTATTATTTCTCATAAATACTATAACTATTATTTGTATTGAGTTTCTAAAAACAATATTCAAACAATTGCAGAATTTTGGGCATAGAATCTTATATGTTAATTAATATGTATATGCAAATGTTTTTATTAGCTATTGTTAGAGACGCGAGGATAAACACGCTGAAGCTTGCCATACTATTGGCTAAACTGCAAAATTAATTAGAAATAATAAGCTCTTGAGCCAGCCAAAGCTTCTGAATAATAAGCAGATACAATACCTTTTCTAGCTATTTATTTTTCATTCAAAATATAGAAATTCAATAAGAGATTCCAGAATAAAATATGAAGTATAATAGATTATTTGAATTTATAAATGTAAGTAAATATTGATATATTAACATTTTTCCAACAGTAAATCATATTGAACTGTCAATTAATCATGATTAGTCAAATTTAGGTACTTGTATCAGGTGATACACTTTTATAGACATCTAATGAACAAAGAAAAGTAAAAAAATTGAAATTCCTTGCCGAGCGTAAATATTATGTGTACACATTTTTCTAACTTATGTAGTACTCTTGTTATGAATAAGAGGAGTTGAACGAACTCCGATTTTAGGCCTAGCCATGCCAATTACGTGCGAATCTTGAACCACAGATACGCAGATCCAATGCAAGAAATCAATAATTTTGGTAACAAAAGTTATTTACCTTCCACTTCCAGACGACATTGGTAGAGGTAATGATGCGGTAGATCCTCTCTTAATATTATAGCTACTAGAAGTTGTGGATATGCTTGAAGTAGTTTTGATGGCAGCTTTGCTAGAATGATGTTTTGATTTAATACATTCTAACACTAGTTGATCTTTACATCCTTGATTTTGATGTACAGATACTCCACAATCTGATAAATATAACAGAACATTCATAAATACATATAAGTATATACATATATTATTTCTTTATATATATAAAATAATATAACAGTTAATACTTACTGTCGCAATGTAGGAGTGGTTTATTTGTTGATTGTTTCATACAAGCATCACATAGTAAACTTCCCTGAGATCCTGCCATTATTGTCGTCCATAAATGCTGTTGCTGACTAGTCTTTTTACCACTTTTATCCTGTAATTCCATTGTAATTTCTAAACATAGATTTTATATATATCCATATACATATGTACATATATACACATACATATACATACATATAAATATATATGTATATTTATTAATTTATTTATTTATATATATACGAACTTTTTATACTATAATATAATTTAATCTCACTACCTTTTTCTTGCGGAAAAAAATAGAACCACGTTTTCTTCTAGTTTTTTCAGAATGATGATCATCATATGCAGCTCCACTAAAATTAAATTTATACATATTTATTAAAGTTATATATATCATAATTATTATATAAATATAAGTAATCAAAATAATTTATAATACAAATCAATTTAAAAATGATTAAGTAGTAAATATTTACAAGCACTACAATTGTGTATTTACACTAAGTGATAAGAATATAAATTAATTATAAATTATGACTAAATACATACATTAATGAACATTTCATGAAGAAATAAAATACATATAGGAAGATCTAAATAATATTATAATCTTATTACTGTTTGTGTATAATGTAAAAAGGTGATGGTAAAGCTTATACAAACCAATAATTATTTCCTTGCGTCTTGATAGTGAAATATATTATTTGTACATATGTGAAAAAACTAAAAATACTTACTCAGTGAGTAACTCATCAAGGGATATCTGTGTATTTGGAGTGCCTTCTCTATCTTCATGGAATTCATGGCTGTTTGGTATATGGAGATCTTCAGTTTCAGTCTCACTTCCACTACCCTTTTCGTTTCTTTCACGTCGGCTGTACCATGCAGGACGGTAGGAAATTGTCAAGTACAAACACAAAGTATGCGACTATTGTGTAAAAGATGCAAATCATTCTCGTGTGGTTTTCCACCGAGATATAAGTGCCACAAAGACGCAAAGTTAATCAGAATACACAGGAGATTATTTATATGGATATTCAACGTGAAATTCAATTTTTTGTACAACTTTAAAAATAAAATATGAAAAGAAATAACATTTTGACACTGATATAAATGTGATTTAGTCTTAAAAAATTGAATATTAATTAAATGTAGTAATAAATAGTGCAACCATGCTAAATACTTTCATCTACAAGATACAAGTTGATGCAAGCATTTTTAACTATACGCAAATTTCGGAATCTTTTGTAAATATATTAATAAACCATGCATTAATCTTTTTTACTATTAATGTAAAAATGATATAATTTAAAAATATATAATGCATATATACATATCTTATATTTCATATACATATAAGATATGTGTATTATTCTCTATATCACTTTATATGTGATTCTATAAAAAGATTGCAAGCTAGATCACAAAAATTAAAGTATTACTTATAAGTATGGTCAAAAATTGATGAAATTAATACAAGATTGGAAGTAAAATTAAAATTATTAATAAACCTAAGTGACTTTTTAAAATATACAATTTATAACTAAAATTTTAATATAAAAATTAATGTCATTATTTATTAAATAAGATAATACAGTAATTTCGAAATTCACATCAATATTGATCTAGTTCTGCAATCTGAAAATGTTTTTAATTAACTTACGCTGTAAGTGATGGTGTTGTCCTAGTTACAGTTTCTACTAAATGAGCATTAACTTGAGGTGTAACAATTGAAGGCGTTGAAATAGATTTCTGAAGAGGTAAACGAGAACCTGTAAGGCCAGGCATTAAACCACAACTGTCTGCTAATCTTTGACTACCTTTGAATCGTTTTGTGACTATTTTCTGATATTCACTCTGTTAAAGAAAAATTTATAGTGTCTTTTATTATAAACCAAATATTTAAAGAATAATGTATACATTCTTCAACTTACCTGTACAAGATCAGCTTCATTAAGAGAATGAGTACTTGCTTGTGATCTGCATGCTCGACTGCTAACACCTACAGGTCTGGTACAAGATTTTCCATGTAATTCTATGTCCATTTCACTGTCTAGACTACTTAAACTAATACTGCGTTGTCGCTGAAATTGTAATGAATAAATGTTATACATTATAGTAAAAGATGCAATCCAAAGTTTTAACAAAGTAAAATGAAAAAAGCAATGGAACATTTATGCTACAAATATATAATGAATAATGCATTTTTCAAACATGTAAATGTAATGTATTAGGCAATATTAACCATATTTTGTGCTTGTAGATGATTTTGCCCAGAATATCTGCGACGGCCACATCGAGTATCTTCCAAATCAGTCCAACTGCGTCTCCTATCAATACCTTGTGCATTCTGTGAATGAGGACCTACTGATGGAAAATGTGTGGGAGAGCTGTTGGTGGAACAGTTAGCAAGGACGTCAGGATCAGATCCTGTATCATTATTACTTGAGCGTGGTGCAATTTCAGGTAAAATTAAAGGACATAGGGAAGGGCATGATGAAGTTAACCGTTGAGGTACATCATTGTGGGATGTACGATGATTATATCCCCAGTTGTTCAGCGTTAAATCTCTCATACGCTGAATACAATCATGGATTTCATGCAGATGTTGCAAGTTGTCCTCTGCAAGGAGGTGAATGAATTGTTAGCCACAGAAGCATAACAAATTTTGTAATGTCAATGAAATGTAATGCATAGGGTTACACAAATTAAGAATCAAGGAAATTTACCCAAAACAGGATAGTTTTTAGCAAGACCAGGTGAATGAGGTGTGACACTGATAATTGGCACCAAAGGATTAGTCTGAGCTTGACTATTAGTGCCAAGTGTAAGCAGTGAGTGCTGCTGTTGTTGTTCATCAGTCCCTTCAGACATGGTAATAGCCGTTTTCTCTGTATTGTCTTTGGTGTAACTGGTCTCAGTAATTATATTCCCATGTAGATTTAAACTGCCAAGATCTCCATTAATAATAGGTATACGATCGCAATCAGAATGCGATGATCCCAAATAGTCAGTTATTACATCTTCTTCACTATCTTCCCCACTGTTTGGACACTCATCTATAATTATATTAAAAATATATATTTTCATTACTTATGGCGATATATTTTAAACAATAAAATTATTATCATTTACATACATTAAATCGTTAGTTTAAGTAATAAAAATATAAGTTGTTATAAAATAAATTACTTAAAAAATAAAAGGATTGTGAGATGATGACTCACGAAAAACGCGGTAATCGTGTGGAATAAGGAATTTAGCACTTCGTGAATTACATCGAGATTTGAGAAAACCGATAGCTAAATGTCCTCGCACCTATTGACTACGAAGGGAACAAATAGGACTCGCTCGTGGCAATTGTGTAGCAGCCTCCCGCTCTCATGTCAGTTATGTATAAAGTCATATTCAATGAAAATCAGGTCAGATTATGTAATATATATTTGTATTTTTAATTTTATGACTATGTGAACATAGATGCGAGAAAGGAAGCTTTTTATTTCCATAATTGAAAAATTTAAGAATATTAAAAATAGTAATTCTATCTTAATATATTAATATCGGTCACGGATAATCCAAGGTCATCTGTCAAATGTCACAATTCAAAAACAAGGATGTCTTATTAAATCGATCTAATATTAATTGGTGATGTACAAAAATAAAAGTCTCTTTAATCTTATCACTTTGGTTGATAAAACAAATTTCTTTGTTACATTTGATTAAACAATTATATGTTCAATGTTACCAAAAAAATCTTATAAATGCTAATCATATGAATTACCCGGTTTTTAACAACACTCCTGATGACAATCAACTAACATATTCTATTTTATCTACACGATGATTTGATAAACCGTTTATTGTCATCCTAGTACCGAAAATAAATAAAAGTGGTCAAATCGTACCAAATACTTTTCCGGGAAGCAGGGGGTAGACACACTGTTGCTTTTCCCCGTAGCTCCCAAGCGCGAATTGATCCGTTGGTCCGCGCGTGCCACCCCACCTCCATGCACCCCCGATCCTTAACCGACCTCCAACCTTCAATCTAATACCTTTACTACTATCCTTTTCAGTAACTTCATCTTTTGCTTCCGTATTCATAATTTATTCTTCGCGATCAGATATTGTTTCAAAAAATTATTTAATTCTAATCGAAATATTTTTAGATTTAGAGTCTACGTTTATAGTATTTTATAATAAACAAATTACATTACTACTCAACGGAAACAATGATAAATCAGTTATTTAAAACATTAAAATTATCACTTCTTTAATTCTAATTTTTACTTAAAAAAAAAAAAAAATCATAGAAATGTTACAAAATAACCTACACATATTGCTAGCTATAATTTATTTCAGATATTTTATATTATGGTGAGAATTACATTATTATAATTATAATGTCAGTTTATTTTATAATGATATAATGTATAGATATAAATTTACATATATTTTATATTTTTTAACAACTTTCGTTATTTTTAATATTTAGATGTACTGATAAAATCATTTCAGAAGACCAGTTTTTATGCTTATGAAAGCAATACATTTATATAAAAATTAAAAATGTATTTTAAATATAAATTGCACAAATATAATACAGGGCAATTTTCTTTAAATTATTATATTAGAAAATTGATTAGAATTAAAACATTAAATAAAAATAAACATTGAATGTAATAAAAATTGTATTTCAATTATTAGTTAAACATGAATAATCCAAGTAATAATCATTGAAAAAATTATTTACATGAAATATATTTATTCTATTTAAAGTTACAAATAAAATTAATGAACTAATAATTTTATATTTTATTAACAATAGGTTTAAAAAAATTATAAAATAAGCTAAATTACAATATATTTATACTATTATGTTAATTCTAATTAATGTAAATGATTTTATTTGTATATGAAATGACTAATATCAAAATGATACCAAACATTTTTTCTATATTTTTTGTAGATATAATATATTAACATGCGATCATAAAATATAAAAATGTATTTAAATTTAACATTTATACATGATATATATTTAAAATACATGAATCCTATATATTATTATAATTTTGTACTTTTTAACACTTGCTTAAGTGAGAATTAATTATTAAGTATGTTAGTTTTTTAATATAATGTTAATATTAGGATGTATAAAAATATATCTTTGAACTATGTAACTATATCTTGAAATATTTCAAATATAAAATAGGCTATATAATATAAAACTATGTTTACATGTTTTATATTAAAAAACAAGATTTTATTAAATAAAATATAGGCAGGATATTAACTCTAAAAAGTATTATGTTTCTTGTTTAACATTTTATTGTATACAGTAATGGTACCAATAAAAATATATAATATTGACAGATAAAGGAAAATTATTTATGCTTTGTGTTAGTAACTTACCAGAAGAAAAAGGAGCCAGTATTTCCTGCCGTTTCTCCATCTTTCTTATTTCCGACGATTAGATGAATATTTAATTTTTCCGAGAGCGGAAACTGAAACATTTGTAAATATTATAAATAGCATTACGTTAAATTTATTGTTTCAGAAACATTTCATAAAAATATATAAATTTAATAACTTTAAGATAGAAAATTCATTGAAAAAATTCACAAATGAAAAATATAGCACAGCTACGATACTTTAAATTCATTGTAATGTGGAAAACATAAGTTATGCATGCAATATTTCACACTCTGATAAGGGCGACGTACACACTGTTGCCAAAGGAAGCCGTATTGACAGGTGAACGTTCGACTTAATTATTTTGCTGATTAAAAGATATTACTTAACATCAAAAGAAATACATACCTCAAATGCAATAATCTTTATAAATCCATTAATATGATACGTAGTTTATTATATCTAACTTCATAGGGAAACAAAATGTTGTATCTACCACTCTGTATCATACAGTCAAGGCACGTCGACCATTTTGTACTAGTCCGAACTATAGGTAGTAAGAAATCGTAGAGATGTGGTAACGCATGAATCGCTTGGTGGGAATAACAGTATACCATTAGGCGCGTATTTGAAATTTATGCAACATAGATCTATCTCTAGAGAAATGGTAATTATTCCAAAAATAAAAAGGTAGTGGTAGATTAAAGCAAAAATTTTATTTTTCAAGACATATCTCATTTTATTTTATTAGACATTAATATAGTGAAATATATACTCAATGTGAATAAATTTTTCATACCTTTCAAACTAATTCACATATTAATTTCAGTTATATAAACTCAAAAGAAGACCAAAACTGTTATTGTATTTATATTTATATTTTAATATATTTTTATAGCATATATAAATTTCTTTCAAATCTCTTTCAAATTTGAAGTATTTTGTAATTTCTACATTTGCAATAATTTCAATAATATTCTTTTATTTACGTATAACGTATTATCTTTATTATGTTAGTGAATTTTTTGTTAGAAATCATAGAAATTATAAAGTAACTTCAAATTTAGGTGCTTGGCCGTACTGGGAAATCTGATCAAAGAACTCGATGAACATTGAAATATGCGTAAAGTGTTAATACAAAGAACTGTCAAACTCTAGAAAATGACAGTATTTTATAACTGATTTATGTCTAGTTAAAAATAATTGTTGTTCAAAAATAGACTTAATAAAATATAAATTTTGTATAAAAGAAATATTATAGTCTATATTATTTGTCATTGTTTACTTAAATTTTAAGTGTTATGTATACATATAACCTAAAAGCACATTATAATTTCAAATATTAATTAAATTTTATCACGTAATATATTTCATCTTCAGATTATTATATTTTTTTCATGATATTATTTGTGTGGTATTATGAAAGTATACAATGGAGGTTTCAGAGACAAGAAACTTTATTAAAGATTTGGATTTAACCCTACAACCTCGCATTTTTCCACGATATAAAACTTGGCTTCCCCTTGCAACACAACAGGTAATTATTTTTATAAAATAATTAATTTCTTAATTTTTTTAATTTTATATTTTATAAATTTATGACAATAATCTGTGATGATATATTTTATTCCTATTATCAATAAGTTGCCAGTTATAATAATGATATACTTTATTTTTTATATAGTCTTTTAGTTATTTTAATTATTAAGAAATAACTTTTTTATTATAATAACAATTATTTATCTTATAAGATGTTGTACATGTATTAATTTATTTTATGGAACGTATAATTTTCAGTTAAGACTCAGAAATCTTATACAAATAATAGGATGTAATTTGAAAACGAATGTAAATAATGAAATTTGTTCGTTTTATTATACTCTACATAAAACAAGTATGTCTTCTCCTTTATATACAAGTGAAGCAATTGATAATGTAAATCCAAGATGGTCAAGTTTAGAAGTACCAACTATATATGCCACCAATTACTCTGCTGCCAGTGGTAAGATTAAAAGTTATATGTTTATAGATATAAGTAAAATCAAGAGTTGAAAGTAAATATATGTATTTTTGTATTTTATAATTCTAATTACATTTATTTTATAAACATAAGAAAAAGATATTACATATTTTTTTTTAATAGAAATCATTATAAGGCTACGGAAAAAGATGGTTGTAGACAATATAACTACTGATATGATTGTATTTACATGGGGTATATCTTTTACTGGATTGGCATATATTGGTCCAAAACTACCAAATAATTTAGAAACCATTTTAAAAGAAAATTCTTTAATTTTTCAATTTCATGGTGGTTTTTTTGCACCAGTATATTGTTTTATTGAAGTTCCTGAATTAAAAAGGTATCTACATATAAAAGTCAATGTATCTGAAATAAGAGATAGTTATACCGTGAGTAAGCTTAGTAGTTTAAGGAATAAAATGCAAGCACTAAAACAGCAGACAGAGTCAGTACAAGCACTTCAGATGCGAATTGCTTCTGGAGATAATTTTCATGTCCCAAAGTATCCACAATCTTCATTGAATAGATTATTTCAACCTCGTAAAATAAACAGAGAAAAAAAAGCTGAGATATTAAAAATACGCAAAGAATTAGAAATAGCAAAATTTAGAACAAAATTATTAGAACAAGAAAGAGCAAGAAAAATGGGAGAAATAAGAATGTTAAATCAGATGCATTCTAATATTATGGAAGAAAATCAAGATTATGGTATTAATTTTTAAATGATATTATTTATAATTTATTATAATTTAAGTAAAATGATCTTAAAATATTTATTAAAATTAGGTTGTGATATAATGGAAAAATATAGACAATTAAATAAAGATATTGAAAAATTACGTGAATGGAGACAAAATCAAATAGATACAAGAGAAATATATGTTCAATTGAGCAGTCAACTTGCTTATAGAAGAAGACAATTGATTTCAGAATTAAGCTTAATATATCCTATTTCTCAGGTATGTGTATAGAAGTGTAGAAAAAGGTAATAAATGTAAATATTGACATAAATCAATGTATTTATGTGAAACAGGATGGAAATGGGAAATTTAGAATACATGATGTTCATTTGCCAGATAGTGAGGATTTAGAATTATCAAATGATACTGAAGTTGCTGTAGCATTGGGATTTGTTGCACATACTACACAAATGATTGCTAATTTTCTTAACATACCTACTAGATATCCTATTATACATTATGGATCACGTAGTAAAGTTATAGATCATATAACAGAGAACTTACCTGATAATGAAAGACAGTAAGTATTTTACTTTTTATTCGTTTTTATAATTTTTATTTGTATAATTATATTTTTTCAGATTTCCTCTATTTGCTCGAGGCAAAGATAAGCTGCAATTTCGTTATGCTGTTTACTTACTAAATAAAAACATAGCTCAATTAAGATGGTATTGCGGCCTTGCAACAACAGATTTAAGGGCAACACTTCCAAATCTTGCTACTTTGATAAATATTAAACCAAATCAATCTCAGTAAGTTATATTTTTGTTCTAATTAATTAGTGTTCTGTAAAATATTTTGTTAAGCATAAAATTATTTTTTCCTTGTAGTTTGGATAATTCAAAACGAACATATTCTACTTCATCTTTAGATATTGAAGTTGGAAATAGTAAACAAAGTGTAACGCCACCAATACAAAAAATAATCTTTGAAAAATGTCATCGATCTTCACGATCTATGAGTCAGTTAAAAAGTATAAAATCTTCTCTTGGTTCTTCTTTGGATCAGGGTTTAGATAAACCTGTACAGTCACTTGTTTTAAGCAGTCAATCAAAACGGATTTGTAAATCAGAAGAAAGTGCCATAGACAATAAAACGTTGGTATTAGTAAAAGATAGATCAAGTAATAGTAGTAATGAAACTTTAGATAACGCTATTTTAAATAATATGAGTGGTACAAACATTGAAGATAGTACTCAAGTAAATAACGAAACTACAATAGAGAGTAACATTGAAATTATGATACCAACATCAGTATCAAAGTCAACTACTAATGTTACAGATAGTTTTGAAGGTTCAGTAAGTGTAAGAGATAGAAGCTCAAATTCTATAAGTAGTTGTGAAATGGCACTTAATAATAGTCAGAATGGAGATGATAGTTCAAATGATAATAACATACTTAAAAAGAATGAAACTAAAGAACCTACTTCAGTTATTAATGAAGTCTTAATAAATATTAACAATGTTGTAGATAATTCTTTAAAAAATGGAAAACACAATGCAGATTATAATTTAGAAAATGAAACTCTACAAGATTATGATAATCTTAAAATGACAATTAGTGAAAAAAGTTGTAGTGATCATGAATATACACCAGTAGCAACAGAAACTTCAACATATAATAAAGAACATTTTGCTAAGTCATGTTTATCTTTAGATGACATAATGTCTTGTGCTTATGAAGAAACTGAAAAGAAACAAAGAACAAGTTCAATTTGTAGCTATCCAGAAGACTACCTTTCATCAAAATATCTTATGTCACGAAAACGATATAATTCTGAATCAAAGTAAGTACATATTAAGATACATGTGTAATAAACAAACAAAATGAATATAAAAATAAAAAATATTCACTATTCAATAATCATCTTTTTTATACATATATATATATATATATATAGGAAAGACAGAATGGAATCTATACATTCTAAAAATTGGTGCCACAATAACACAAGTAGGGAATCAATGGTAAGTAAATTTACATGAAAGTATCTATTGTTTATATATGTATTATTACTGGAGTATTGTTGTTTATTATTAATATAATCATCTCTGTTATTTCAGTTGGAATCAGAATTAATACAAACAGCACAGAAATCAGATTGTTATTCATATGATGAAACAACTAAATGTGACTTTCAAGCATCAAGCGAATACATGGACATTATTAGACGTAGTTCAGAAAATGTATACGCACGCACTGAAGCATTAGCTAATAAGAAAACTAGTTTTAAGGTTATGAAACCACGACTGTAGTATTTGTAGTCTACAATCTAACAAAACGCTATTATTCTTGTAATAGTTAATATCCGAACGCACCAAATCCAAGAGAATTCACTGCATGTTGTATAAAAAAAAATTAAGTTGATATGAATAATGTTACGACATAAAAATTGGAGATGAACAGTCTCATTTTTTAAACTATAAAACACGAAAATTTATTATAATTACTTGTTTTGTTAAATAGAAAATTAATGAATTATATTTGTTTATTATGTTAAAAGTGTCTGTTATATATTTACATTGCATTTTCTCAATTGTTAGATACAATGAAAGATAGATATGTGTATATTTTAGGTACTATTATTTACATACAATAAATTTTGGTATGTGTGTGTGTATATTTGAATTTTTTTATGCATGCGTGCGCGCGGGCGCGTGTGCAACGTATGATAGGTCGTGCAATTAATAATTATGGTTTTAATTAATTATATAGCATTGGATAACTAATATAAGACAAAATTTTCATACTAATTAATCCTACATATAATATTGAGATCAGTATATGTTTATATTTTTTTAATTGTGATGTTACTATGTACTATTGATACCGTTAGCATTTCCGTGTGAAAGCAATATTATTAAGTTGACTTAAACCCATGTAATTTAAAATAATATTTGTATACGTATTTAGCAGATTTCAATATACTTGAAATATCTAAATTCATTAGTAATGATTGATAGCTACAGTGTTCAAAATTCAGATTTATCATTTTATTATACAAAAGTTTAATATTTATATAAACTATGTGTAAGAGGACCAATTGAAGCATTATTTACTCACTATAAGATAATTCTATATTAAGTATGTGATAATTGATAATTTATGATAAAAAATACTGATATCCAAGGAATGAAAAGGAGAAAGAAGACAATGAAAATTATGTCATTATTATATAATTTTCATAACGTATTTCAATGTAAAAAGGTAAAAAATATAAAAATATTAGATTGTATTAGTTATAAAATACTGAATTAGTAAACATGTTTGAATAATCAGATATGATATTGTATAAGTTTACTGCAATCATGTAAGTATATGCATTTCACTATAAGTAAATTTTGCAGTATTGTAACTTACAATAATGTATAATATATCAAAATAAGTAGCTAAATTTGGAAATTTTCATGTACAATAACCAATGTAAAAGCAATAGTACACATTTTCTTTTTAATTTGACTCATGAATAATCTTATATTGAATGTATATTATACTATAGGAATAATTAAAAAGATTTATTAATATTGATATTATTAAAAGTTCTTTTATTTTTATTGTAGTTTTGAAAGGATTTAATAAAATTTGACATTTTTAACATCCTAGTATTTTAAAAAATTATACAGTGTTATATTTATTTATAACAGTGCAAGCAAAAATATGTTGCTATTTCTTATATCATCTATGGCAATAACCCCTTAATCTTTACTATATTATTACACTATAATATTTACATATAAAAATAAATATTAAAGTAAAATAATGTGTATAATATACATAAAAATATTCATTTCAAAGACTCATTAATTTTAGTTAATTTTACACTCACATTCCACAAGCGTAATGCTACATCAGGATCAAGTTCCTTTTTTGAAGTATAAAGTTTACAGTCGCGATAAATATTACCACTTTCATTGGATAAGGAAGGTTCTGTTGCACAATGTAATACAGTCTGTGCACCCTGTAGTAGAAATATAAACATGAATGTAATAAAAATATTCGTTACAAAATATCGATAATTAATAATCCATATGAAATGTTAAGCAATATATAAAAATAGTTACCTGATTTGGAGTACGTAAAAATAATAAAGCAAGAGGTGAAAATATAATGTAATGAAACCAACTCCTTTTAACATTTCTAAATAATCCTGTGTAAGTAAATCCAGGACACACCATATAAACATTAATACCACAATTCTTTGTTTGTTTTGCAAGTTCAATACCAAAATATGTATTTGCCAATTTTGAATTACAATAGGCAGGATTCATGCGTTCTTTAACAACTAATCCTTTTTCACCATTTAGATTTGAAAAATCAATTACTCCAGATTCAAAAAGTTTGGATGTTACAATAACAATCCTATTGTCAAAAAGAAATAATTAAATAAACAAATAATAAATTTTTATTGTAATATAAATATTTTATTTTGTGATAAACCTGCTTGGTCCACTTTGTTTTAAATGATCCAAAAGTAAATTTGTAAGCAGAAAATGACCTAGATGATTTACACCAAAATGAATTTCAAATCCATCATCAGTTAAAGCATGTTCTTTAAAAGGAACATATACTCCAGCATTATTAATTAATACATGAATCTCTGCAAAATTCTTTATTACTTCTGTAGTAAATTCTCTGATCGATGAAAATGATGCCAAATTTAATTCCATTGGTACCTAGAAAAAATAATAGTACATTTTAGATAAATTATTATAATAAAAAATATATATACATATATCACATTTGATTTCATAATATTGATTTCATAAGCTCTATTTGTTTTTTATCAGTATAAATAATTAATATATACCACTTTTAAATAAATATGCCTTTAGAGACCAAATAAGGTCAGAAATAAAATATTAACAATGTATAATAATGTAAAAAAAAAGTATTAGATCTTAAATTGAAAGATTCATCAGGATAGACAGAATTTATATAAGAATCAAATATATATATTTTATAATTATTTATTATTTATTTATATATATATATATTATGAAATAGAAATAAATAATTATAAAATAGCATTACCAATTCTCCAGTAGATATTTGAGTACGTATGTGAGATATAGCATTTTGAGCAGTTTTTAAATTTTTACAAGCTAAAATAACTGTAGCTTTCCTCTTAGCTAATTCTTTTACTGTTTCTTTACCAATACCAGAGTTAGCACCTGTTACAATAAATACTCGGCCTAGTAAACTATCTGTACTTTTACACTTTCCCCATGTACATTCACGACATTTTCGAAGTAATCCAATCAGTAATAATACCGATAAAATAAAATAACTCCATGAAGATATCATATTTGCTTTAGGAACTGACATGTGCAGGTATTCAGAAATATTTATTTGCATACAATGACTAATCGCATTATAAAGTGAGGAATATAACTGCCATATTATGAATTAAGGTATCACAGAGTTTTAAAAATCTTTTTGTTTTGTAAGTTAACCTTTTTTATTACATTCATCAGTCCCAAGTTTATATTTCACAAATAACACTTTAATATATTAATAACAATTGTAGGTAAATATTCGAATGATAATTATAACTTTTATTACATATTAATAATATTTTTATATGATAATTATTTAAATCAAACTATGATACACAGAAATTCATTGTTACGTTACAAAACCATTAGCGAAAAATTTATACTGTAACCAAATATGGTAACCTTCTGTCATTAAGCAGATTTGTATGTCTATATACGCATTTATATTCATCGCCAAATTGGGTGGTCATTTGAGTAAAATTTATAATCATAAATAAATGATTAAGCTTCTAAATATAATAAGTTGATGTCTTTTAACACTATTTCATTTTTATTTATAAAAGTTGGTACATATTATCTGAACTACTATTATCTGAACTACTATTATCTGAAATGAACATGTTTAAAGAACCTTTTAAAAGTATTTTCTCGAACTATTAGCAATTATAACAATATTAATATTTGTAAAAATATTAGCGTTGAATTATACTTATTTATGGTGAAAAATTTATTAATTATAAACATTAAACATTTACAAGTATTTTTATTATTCATAGTTTTACTAAATTATTTTATAGTACAACAGTATTAACGTCTCTATAACAATGTGTTAACATCTTAATAATAATGCATTTTGTCTCATTATATATGTAATAGATACTGAGAATTTGTTCTAAAATATTTTTAATATTAAAATTTTATACATCAAACATAGTTTTATATAAAATTTTATTTTATGTAATATTATATTCACAAACTCGTAAAAAACATAAAATTATTGTATTATTACATATAATTTGATGATACTTATATGACAGGTTTATTGATTGAAGGTACTAGGATACTGGTCTGTACTACTGTTTCTTTCATCCCCAATTGACAGAAAGTCGTATGTTTTATTGAAAAAAGTGTAAAAATTATTATATAAATAATTTAATTTTTTAGTTGTAATAAAAATTGTATTTACCATGGGAAATATTTGTTCATCTTGTTGTAAACAATCATCTTCATATGAAGATTTAACACCAGATTTGGTATGTTTGAAATTTTAAGGTTATTCAGAAATCAGGTATTTAAATATCTATTTAAATTATATATTCGATTTTTGTATAATGTCATATGTTTTATATTTTCTTCTTAATTTTATATTTTTTTTTCAAATTTCATTAAATAAGTTTATGATATGTTAAAAAAATATCGTGTTTATTTAGACTATATTTTTCATAGTAATGATAGGTATTTATGATAAAAATATATTTTTGAAATTCAAATACTAAAATAGTAAAAAAATACAAAAGGTTGATAATATTAATTTCGGCTAATTTTATAAATTATTTATTTTAATGTTTATAATAAATTTTATGCTTAAAAGAACTAATGCTGTTTTTAGGAAACTAGGCGGAAGAAACAGATGGAAGCTGCAGAAAGAAGAATTGCTGAACAGCAAAGTCGAGGTATTAAAAATATTGATGCTGTTAAAAGACAAGAGAGGTTAGATCAATTACGTGATCAGCGTCAAGAAGAAGTTGATAATAGAAATGTACAAAGTAATTTGAAGGTAATATGTTTAATTTTTAAATCTTGTACAATCGTATATTTGTATTGATATAGGATATTCAAAAGTAAGGGTCTAAGATTAAGGTTTTATTATAGTCTTTAGTTTTATAGTACTCATTAAATTAATGTTAATGAAAAATCATAAAAAGATAAAATTTCATTATTTCTTTGACAAGAGGAAAAATTACATTTTGTATTAAAAGTATTGATTTTTGTATCTACTGATTACGTATTTTTTTATTTTTGTTAGTGAGTATTGTAAGCTATTAAACATTATTTTCTATATATTGTTACATATTATAAATATATATTATATATCATATGCAAAAATAAAATAGCAATAATTATTTTATTTAATAACTTCATAACATTTAATTACTCAGGTTGAGATAAATGATAACAAATCATAAATTTTTTATTCTTTTAGTGGCAAATCAGTTAATGGATTGCTTGGATGGAAATTAAATATTTTCTGTACCTGTAAATTTATTTTAAAAAGTATATAATTATCTAAGTTATTAATAATATATAAAGTTATTACAAATATATATAATGTACAAAATGGGTATGATATATGGTACTGTTTCGTGAAAGATAGTAATAATGTTGTAGGTTTACATTTTGCAAAATTTAAGTACTTAAAGGTGTATACACATACATACATATATATCTGTCTTTACATTGTTTTCTATAGTGCCTTAAATATTTATATTAATTATATCAATATTTTATATAATATATGATTAAGGATTATAATATGACTAAGTATGATACAGAAGTATAGATACAACATTATGAATAAATTTTTTGTACATAATAATTTTTGTTTAAATATTACCGATATTTCTTATTACACTATATTTTCATATTGAAAATATCATGCTTTAATTTTTTATTTAGTATTTTAAAATGATATACCTTAACTATATAGATGTAACCAAATTATCCATATTTTGTTATTCTTTTTAAATATACGTTTATTAAAAACCAATTTATATATTTAAACAAAATTTATTTATATGGTATATTTAATATCTAAATTGAAAATAAAAGTCACTTTTTTGGAAGATTTAGTTTAATAATAATGTATAATTATAAAATGTAAGGCTAATTAATATTTATTTTCTATAAAACAACAAATGTATTTAGAATGGTATACAGTATAAGTGACTATAATAACGATAATCGTGATATTGTATGTTATCAAATGTAAAAGTACATTTATGAATAAATAAACTGCTAAAAGTAAACAAAAATACATTCTTAAACTAATAATACTCATAAAAAGTTGTTATGGATTTAATTAGTTAATTGAAAATGTACTTAGAAAATTACTAGTTCTAAACTTTATAAACTTTAATAAAGGAATTTTTATTAGTTATTATTTAATTGATATCTAAAGGAATAATAGAAGATTATTACTTATTTTTATAGCTTTTTTATAAATTTTTTATGATAAAAAGTAAAATATATACATTTTATAGTACAAAACACAAATGTTACAATTTTCATTGGGAGACAATATTAGTAAGTTTATTTATATATATAAATATATATGTATATATGTACACATAACAAAATATGTGAAATGTAAAATGAATTTTTAAGTATTTTTACTATTATATCGTACTTTTTCGCAGAAGCTCTTTCAGTTTGTACATGTGTTGGTAAACTACAGTTTTTAACAAATACATGTCACATTGACTAAAAATATACAATTCGAAGATATTTCATATTTTTCCTATTCGATGGACTGACCAGGATCGAAAAAGTTTCTTTGTGGATTTACTTTTCAATTCTCTTCCATGAGCAATTTGTACTTCCAATGATGCTCCATTGTTTAAAGCTAGCCATGTATGAATTTCATCAGTCGCCGCAGAAACACCTAAATGTAGTGTAAAATGCTATTAATCCTTATATGCCACTATATATGTATTAAATAGATATCTAATGAAATAGATTTGCTTTATAATAATCACGGTATATTAAAAAATTGAAAGTTAAAAAGTTTATAAATTTGACTTTACTTTTGTCTTAAATCCTTTTGTCTCATCCTGAGCAGAGGATGGGAGTGTGAAATTATTTAAACGTAGTTTAAAACGTAGCGTTTAAACGTAGCGTTATTATTCTAAAACAATATTGAAAAATATATTCTATCAATGAATATCAGAATTTATATACTTAATATAATTTTTTAAGAACTTTTAATGTAAACAAATAGAAGATGAAATGGTAAAACGGATTTATTATAAAAGATAGTATTTTTATAATAGTCTTTATAACTTGCACAAATCTTTGTAAGGATTTTTATTTCTTTTTTACGAATTTAAAATTTATCGATGTCAAGCGAATATACATATTGTTATTTTATGTTTTGGTATATATATAAAATTATGAAAAATGTGTTTTCTGGAAAACCGAGCTATAAAGTAAATTATAACACACCATATAAACGTACCTAGTAATTCATGAAGAGTTATGCGTCGGCTAGCTAATAATTCTTTACTAGCACTTCTAATTTCGAATATTAATAACGATTGCCTGGGAACATTGTCACCTTCTATGTGAAAATCTATACTGAATTGTGGATTAGGCATTGCAGGTAAGAGTCGAGATTTTGCTAACGTTTTACCGCTATTTGTCGAAGATATAATTTTATCGGGACTGGTACATCTAACAAATGCAATTAGCTTTTATATTAAAGTTGTTATATTATTTTTATATTAGTATTTGTATCCTCATGCATACTTACATTTGAAGCTTAATTCTACAATATAGTTGAGCGATGTGTGCAACATGAAGACCTTGAGCTTGTAGAACTTTTCCTTCTATTCCTGAATATTTTTCTTTAGTGCCATTGACAACTTTTAATTCTAATTTAATGAGTATGTTAATTAATACATTTTTCTATTAATTATATAAATATTATATAATACAAGGTTTAATTATCAGTAGAATAGATAGCATTTTTACTTTTAAAAATGCCAAAAAGCATAATTTTACACTACATAATGTTAACTGAATAATTTACAAACCATTTGGTCTCAATCTTAAGCGTGGACTAGGTTGTCTTATTCTGCCAAGCATATCAGGTTGTGATACAGCATGAGCTAAACCAGATCCTTGTAAAAGTTCTGTAGCATCAGCTTCTCCTCCACCTCTAGGTTCTAAACTTAATGTTACGCCTTTCGACTCGTTCTTATCTTCTATATTTACCTCTGAACGAAATCTACGAAGTTTTAGTCCTCTTTTAACCTAAAATTATTTATGATAGTATTAACTTTATATAAATAATATACGTGTCGTAAAACTTATTATATTTAAGCATTAATGCACATGATCAATTTTTAATTTTACTATAATTTGTTATAGTCATATTTAAAGTTTGAAGTCGATAATATTATTTTAAGAATGCACATATAATTATGAAAAGGTGGTTATATTTTTCATTCATTTTTATCATTACCTTTTGTTTCATAACGCGAAAGCTGTTATATTGTGGCAATTTTTTACCGAAACTTTGTTCTGGACTTGGTGTTAAACTATTGTGAGAAGATCGCCGTTCTCTTAATTTTGCTGCATCAGTTTCGTCGACTACATCCGTTACGGATTCTGTGATAACTCTAGGTATCCATGAATTTTGAGTCCCATTCATTTCGTTAGAATCTTTGCTTCCAATACTAGCTTTGTCTGTTTCAAATTATTAATATTTGAAATCAATTATTAAAGATAAAATGATTATATGACCTTTCGATACTTTGCAAGTAATTTACCAGATTGACTAGAAATAATTGGTTTCAATAAAGTAACTGTACGAGGCGGGGGCGGTGGTGGTACAACATCTAAATGCAATCTCATTTTTGACTTTTCCATCGAAGGTCTTCTTATAATGTTTGATGCCGTTTCTGAATTCTCGATATTCAATTGAGTCGAACTTTCACTGACATTACTGGCCGCGTAAGTACTTTGGGTCTAAATCGGAACAATACGAACACAGCAATTAAATATATAATTTGAAATATCAATGTAATCGAAACAAAAATTTAGCAGTAATACCTCACACTCTTCAGACAAGACTTTGATCTTTAATTCTACAGATCCCGTTTTAGTTCCTCTTAATGTGAACCAATGGGACTGGTCGCTATTAGATAATTTTCTAATGTCGTCAAGAGTCAGTGATACTTTCCCAAGATAATCTTTCATACCAAAAGTATCATGATCCCATAACACCTATTTAAAAGAATCGGTAAAAGTATGATATGCATAACTGGGCTATAAATATCGAATAATATGACACGGGCAGAATTCTTACGACGTCTAAAGTCTCGCCATTTCTGGGTAAACCCATGATGGAACTTTCATCCCAACAAGGATTCAGTGTTTTCTTTTTTATGCTGCTCTTGTATTTCGTTTCATTATTTAATTTCAATTCACAGAAAGGATCACTGAAACCATTTAAATCCTTTGCAACAAGGTCCTTCGCACGTATTAATGTCACTTCCATTAGCCCACTTCCAGTGGAAAGTAGACTGGATACATCTGATGAAGCAGGGTCTATATCCTTGTGAGTTAATAATAGCTTCTGAAGAAACATGATAGGTATGAGAGCAAAAATAAAATACTATTACGGTGGTATTGATAAGTAATTGTTTTGATCGATTGTACTAACTGCTTGTTGCATCCATGGTAGGTTGTTTCGTTTAGATTTTGGTTCGTCGTCCGATATTGGAAAGGTTAGGCTGCTTCTTCGGCTGGTAACCACTTGCTGTACACTTTTAACAGGGTAGAACAATACAGAGACTGTCATCGTCGATGTAACGTTCGAGCCACTGAGAACCAATTCTTTCCTAATTATCCATGTACTTTCCTAAAAAAATATGTTGGTAATCAATTCGAGAATGTTGCCTAACTAATGACACGATAGGAAAGAAAGGGATGTTATATGAAAAAGAAAGAAGTTACGAATTTTGCTCGCACAAATTTTGTTTCCTGTCGCCTAAATCTCTTTCCAAGAAAAATTATTTTATATAACAATATACGTTACAAAGCATTTTAGGATGATATACTGCGATATTAATTATAACAGATACTTCAAAAATACTTATAATGTTTCTTGGAAATTTTATATACGCACAAAAATTGTACACGTATTTACATTTTTTGAATTTAATTTATTTATACACATCGTGTATAATTAGAAGCTTTTCCAATCTTACTTGAGATAAAGATAATATAGCGAGTCCTAGCATATCGCTATCAGTCGACTTTGATATATTCCAAGAGTATACGACAAAACTTAAGGAAACTTGAGTGTAATCTTGAACGAGAAATTGTGCTCTCGATTCCCAATATGGCGATATGGTGCTTCGAATGTAATGCGTTGTTTTTACCTGAATTTCAAACAACGATTAACCCCAAAAAAGTATAAAATCAAATTTAAAGAAACTACTTTTTATGAGATAAGTAAACGTACCTTTTTACGGTTATTGAATAGTATACAATAAGGATTACATTGCGAATTATCGCTATTGAGATTATCCGCTGAATGGATATAAACCACGAGTACTCCTGAAAATGACCATATTGTGAATAAATTATCATGAAATATTAAACATCGCCATTCAATACTACAGTATCATAACATTGCTACAAGTTTCACAAAAGTGAATAGTAATGGTCGAGACGTGCTCCAACAAAGAGAATAAATATGAAATATTCAAAGATCATGCCCGAAAGATAACATTTATTACCAATTCTACGATATTTGTTATATTTTACCTGATTTTTGCGCTCGATCGGTATATTTTCGCGACACTGAAAATATCAGATAGGATAACACTGACCAAGATAATGAAATTTTATAACAGAAAAGATTTCATTTTATGCTATTCAATGGATATAATTTGCAACGTTTAGCATCAATGTCGCAATAAAAATTTTCTCGATATTACCTGACAGGTGTGAATTATCTTCTGTTAGCTCTGGTTGTGGTAAATCTGGATCAAGTTTTGGTAGTGCAGTGTATTCTAATCGGGCGTTAATGTTTGGAATGTTTGCACTGTTTCGAGATGGTTTCTTTTGCTGCAGTACGGTTTCAATCCTTTTGGACCAAGATATGAAAGAAATAATTTATATATATTCGTTAATTCATATTTATCTTAGTTTTCAAATTTAGACTTTGTCAACTCACACTTGCGAATTATCCCAATTATATACTCCGAGCGCAAGTTCGAACTGAGCCAATGTTATGGTACTAACAAGGCGTTTTGCTTTTAATTTGATCGAGACTTTCTCATTATCCAAGACACCTACTAAGAAAGATACGTCCTCGTTCCACGTGGAATTTAACGGACTTGTAACCCGCCTTTGATCTCCTACTGTTACCACAAGCCACTTTATTTCGTCTCCGATGGGAGCTATATATTGAAAAACACGAATTTTATTATGTATTATGAAATGTCGTTTTGAGTATTAACCCTTTGCACTCGAAGATTTTTTGGCTAGAGAAGAGTAGAAATTCAAAGATTCTCTACTAAAAAACTGACGATACTTTTTCGGGCAGTAAATAAAGAATTATATTATAATTATACCTCGCACACTGTTACATTACGTTAAATTTGATATATTAATTAATATCGATCTTCCAAATTTGATAAAATAATGACTGAAGCTCACCTCTCGAGTCCAAAGGGTTAAACTGCTAGCATCCAATTTTTAGATATATTCCATTCTAGAAATGGAATATAATTAAGTTTACTTCCAACAAAAATATTATTTTCAAGATGCGATTTCTTAAATGTAATTTAGATTAAATTTAATTTAATTTCATTTAACGCAATATAATTATCAAAAATGTGTCAAGATGAATTCACATTTGACGTTGAATTACGAAAGTTAATATTTTTACGTCGAATGTCCAATTATCTTCAAAACTTCTTTTTACATATAACAGAACCTTGCTCGCAAATAGAATCTCTAAGATTACAAATACACATTCGAGATGACAGAAATTTCTCGAGTCATCTATACCCGTTAATAACTTCCCATGCAAGCAACAGAAGCTGCCACTTGCAGAAAGTCATCAGACGATACTCTCTCATTTTGTTTATTTTAATATCCCGTTGAAATAAATTGTCAGCCGATCCTCGTTTAAACTTTCACAAATGGTTGACCGCCATTTCGAAGCAAACAGATGCAAAACTGGGGAAACGAGTTTAAAAAGAGGAGGCCGTTGCTATTATTATTCGGCATTTTCCATTTACCTGCACATCCGTTTTGGGATAAAACGACAGTAAGTACTCCTTGCGGTATGGAGTTGGTTACAGAATCGAATTTGGGTCCAGGTCGTTCTCGAGCTCTGAGATTCATCTCCAAGTGACCCGGATCAACGATCCAACTAGCCAAAGCGTCCGTGACCACTGCGTGAATCCAGGTCTTAATTAAAGGCATTTCCATCATTTGTACCGCTCGCAGAATTCTCACGCTGAACCAAACATCCGGTTTCTCTAAGAAACTCACGCTCAAAGAGGTTGCGTGAGGAAACGGTGCCATGGAGTTAAGGGTCAGGGTGGCAAGAATGGTACCCGAGACAGACAGTTTCTCCACGGCCAGATCGACGTCCATACCAACCCTTTAATTCGAGTTGAAATTCTTGTTGAAGATCGATAGTGCCGATTAATAGATTCGTGTCCAAAATCTTTGGACTCCGACGAAAAAGAGCAATATCGTGATCATAATCGCAATACTATTATAAACGAATATCTAGATGATTCAGATTTTACGAAATTTACATTAGTTACATATTTTAGACACTTCGTTATAATTTTTCGAAATTTTATCCAATTTCTCCCAGGTTTCTGTTTCCAATTTTGATATGAATATTTACTGGGATGTTTTATTCATTATTAATTCTGTTTTTCGTAATTGGTTTTTGGTTTAAAGAATGCATGCAGTATATAATTGCGGAATTCATCATATTCACGTGAGCTTGGACTTTCGTTTTGTGAATTGTTACAAATTTAATCGTAGCGAGGTATTTGGGACAACGTAATTAATGTAATTAGTTTTAAGTATCATATCTTTTATCTTTCTTCTTTTCAGTGTAATAAACGATATAGTTCAAAACGAATAAATGATATTAATCGAACAAGAGTTAATGATGTTTTACCGGGTGATAAATATGGATACATACTAACCCTTTCCCAAATAATCTTGTCGTGATAAGCATGCGAAATTGTTCGCAGTCGAGGTGTATATCTGCTTCGATCGACAATTTTGTTTGTCCTGTTTGGCCATCGATATCATCGTCGTTTGCATAATCTACCGTTCTTATACGCGTGATACAAGGGGTTTGTTCGCCAAGTGTGAGCTCTCTCAGTTCCAATGGTCCTAAAATCATGGTCCCCGTCGAAATTATTCATTCGTATAATTATAAATTTATAAATTTCGAAAACCAATTTACCAGTGAGTAAAATTTGTTATTAAACTTTCCATCTTTCGAGTTGTTTCAAAATATAATATATAAAATATTTCCCAAAAATGTTTAACATGTGTACGTACTTTTTACTTTGAAGTTGCATGAAACGCGAGCAGTTAGATTTTGCTGGAAATTTTTATTTTTAGATGATACCTTGATAACAAATGTATTAACTTTAAGTCTTCAACGTTTATGTCATAATATAACACCGAAATTAATAAGTTGCTTGACATAAACGTTGAAGACTTAAAGTTAATATACTTGTTATCGAGGAACCATATAAAAATAAAAATTACATGGTATAAATTTTATTTTATATTTGCTATATTATAAAATTTTATTTTATATTTTCTATATACATAAATTTTATTTTTATATTTGCTATGTATTTTATTTGCTATAAATTTATTTCTTTCGAATATTCCACATTGTAAACGTAATAGTGTTACGTTGTAAAGGCCATAAATAATAATCGGCGAATTATAACTGGCGTTCTTTAATAGAAATTTATAAATCTTACCTAGTATTCCTGGCTTGGCTTCGTTTAAAAGAGGCTCCAATCTTTCTTTCGCTAAAGAAAATATACTAGCAGCACTATATCTCCACCTGTATTATGAATAAAATATTAAATTATTCGCTTAAGCTGGAGAAACGTATATACACACGTTAAAAAGTAATTGAGTCGTTATAACTCATGTAATTAGACAATTAATAACTGAAGATCACGATTTCGTATTAATTAATTCAAAATGATCGAAGACCGATATTCATGAAATTCTGACATAAATCAACGGTTAATTTTCGCAAATAGCTAATTAATTAATAACACGTTTTATTCGTTAATGTTACCCAAATGGGTAACGCAGTACGTCCGCTCACAGAGACCAATTTTAATCAGAAACGAAGTACTTATCAATATAAATTAATTAAACGTTGCATGCAAGATGTCTATATTTGACCTGATTAAAAATGTAGTTTAATCATTTGAGTGTACAGATCGTATCCGATGAAATCTTGAAACAAGGTAAAGTGGATCATAAATCAACGTGATTAATTCGGTATAATAGTTTCATTTTCCGACGATAACAGTTAATTTGTAAGCTTCTACTTGCCACTTTGACATACTTCGTAAACGTTCTTCGGGATTAACTCTATTTAATATTAACCCATTTGCATCGTGGCTCTACTTAAGGTGCCGTGTTCAGGCATCAGCGACGTTCAACTGACGACTAGCCCGTATCACCGCGCGCGTATCAGCACCTACTCATAATGGCAGTTAAAAGGATTTTCACGACAAAAGTAAAACTTGTTAAGAATATAATGAACCGATGTAGATGAGATGCTCACAAAAGGGATCAAACGTGATCTGTGGCATATGAAGAATATTCAGCAATTGGTAATGGAAAAAGTCAGCTCGCGGAATATTCCGCGCTCGGTGATAGAGGACAGTCGTAGCTCGCGGAATATTCCGCGCTTGGATGCAAATGGGTTAATTTCACGTACCCATCCTTGAAAGCATTTTACGTGATTTTAGAAAACGCATTTCGATTAATTACGAAAATTCGAAACGCAATCCGACACACTGCGATACTAAAGCACACGGATATAGATGTCCAGTTTATGCTCCTTTCGCCGTGGTACGGTAATGAATTCGTGTCATTATCGTTACACCGTAGTTAACTTGTACAAACTACTCCGGGTTATAACGTTACGTTATAAAATCTTTGCGGATGTTTTCTTTTTCTCCTCAAGTATCATGTTTGCGGAAGAGAATGTGGTGGAACTGAACGGAGAGAAAATGGTATTTGCAAATAGCCTCGGGTGATAACAGATTTTTTTCGTGAAAGGGAATGTAATCACTTGAATCGAGATTACGGTGCATAAAATATCTTGTAAAGAGCTTGTTAATGCTTATTTAAATTGCGATGGTACGAGGCTGAATTAGTAGAATTACATACATGTTGACGAATAAATAATATTACAATTATAATGCTAACATTATTTATAAATAATATTATAATTATAATGCTGATATTATTTATAAATATTATTATTTATAATAAAACCAGGCAAACGAAGACTTAGGAAAAATTTTTGGTTTCTGATAATTGAAATATTTTTATTTTTCCTTGCAGCTGTCGGATATACAAAATATTATTTTAGAAATTTATATAGGATTTTATATACATTTTTATGAACGAAAATAAAATTTAATTTCCAAAATAATCGAGTTAATCCTTTGCACTCGAGAGGCGCCTTTCATTCACCATTCGATAAAATTTCGAAGCTTCATATTAATTAATATATCAAATTTAAAATAACGTAACAGTGTGCGAGGTATCGAAATGAAATAATTCTACGTGCTAATTATTATACGATTTCTTATTTACTGTTAAAAGATATATCGTCAACTTTATAGCAGAAAATCTTTGAACTCCTACTCTTCTTTCGCCAAAATATCGTCGAGTGCAAAGGGTTAATATATCAAATTTTAAATTAGCCAACGATGAGTGAATGTTGAATTGAAATAATTCTACGTCTTAACTTGTATGCGATTTCTTATTTACCATTTTAAAAATATCGTCCACTTCATGGCAGAAATTATTATTTCTCTATAACGAAAAGATCGCCGAGTGCAAAGGGTGAAATAAAGGTGCAAAGGCTATCTTGGGATAGTTCTCTACGAATTTTTTAACAAGAGTCAGTGTAAAAATATCATCAGCCTCATAGCAGAAAATTTTTCAACTCGTGTCCTTCTTTAGCCAAAAAATCGTCGAGCGCAAAGGGTTAATGTTCATCGAATATTCATCATTCTTGAATGAATTTAACGTGTAGAATTTAAATTCATTCTTGAATGAATTTAACGTGTAGAATTTAAATTCATTCTTGAATGAATTTAATTATATATAACCTCCTAATGAAATTTAAATAAAATATCTGTTCATAGTCTATCCTTGTTACATTAATTAAGAATTACTTATGCATTACAAACACAAATGCAAAGGATCTTTTCCTTTTTCCTAGTGGATTAACCCTTTGCACTCGACAATTTTTTGGCTAAAGAAGTGTAGAAATTCAAAGATTCTCTACTAAAAAACTGACGATACCTTTCTGAGCAGTAAATAAAGAATTGTATAATAATAGAGTTGTAGAATTATTTGATTTCGATACCTCGCACACTGTTACATTACGTTAAATTTGATATATTAATTAATATTGTAGGATACCAAAAGAAATCGTGAATCGGCTATTGCCAACAAAAACAAATTGTAAACCGATCGATATCTTCTAGAAGCAAATCGAAAAGTTATTCCATATAACAAAATTAAGTTGCGTGACTCCTCTACGGAGTGGTGAAGCGTAGGTTAAGGAAAGCATAAAAAGCGTGGTCTTTGACAACCAAAACAGAATCCTTGGAAATCGGTTGTGACCAGCGCAAGCGTGAGTCGCTTGGTGTTGGAAAGAGAGTTTTAAAAGAGTGCGTCTTTGTGCGTTTTCGTTATCTTGGTGTTTTTTCCCTAAGTTAAATCAATTTACGAGTTTTCAGTTTGTGTTATCGTATTCTTGTTCTTTCGTGAATTTTCGGTGTCTCAAGACCAGTTTCGCCATCCTACAATATCGATCTTCCAAATTTTATGAAATGGTGACTAAAGCTCACCTCTCGAGTGCAAAGGGTTAATAGCTTAATACCTTCTTTTTGAAAGCTGAAATTTTGTCTTAATAGCTCAACCTGTTCATACGTCCTGTCTTACAATATTTCTACATCGCAGGAGTGGGTGATTTTCCATTTTCTTTCTGTCTGCCTCTCGAACGTAAAGGATCAGTAAGAACAGCATGGTCAGAAACACTTGAACAGGTCTATCAACTATCCAAATAAGTAGTACTCTTTCCAGACAAGCTCTCACGCGTTGTTTTAGTATCTTCGGGACCCTGACAAACGAGAAAACGTCGGAGATGTTGGGTCCGTTTCACCCAAGCACGATGTATGGCTAGCAGGTGCAACACATTGCAACAAGGATGTAGCACAGTTAAAGATTATTTTTCATGCAATTGTGGTACTTAAATCGTGATCACTGAATTCGTAAATATTGAATATTTATTGAAAAATATTCAAGGAAAGTTTCAATAAATATCGAATTTTCTAAAGTGCCGAAATATTTGCCTTTTCCCACTATATCGAAGAAAAAAGATAGCAAATAAGATGGCAGCAAAGTAAATAATTTTATGAATTATGGAGTCATTGAAATGGAATTTACGTGCACGATATGCGAGTAGATATGAATACGAAGTGCGTATCAAACGTTCGATCTCATTAGAAATTCCATAGTCCTACTGCATGTCCCATTTAACGAGTTACGCCTACTGGATAAACACACATCTAATGTTTGTCCAAAATTAACATATGATACAAGATTCATAAATTTTGCATGCTACAACGTCGAGATTTCATTTCTTGAAGAGAAATCGTGGAATTTTATCCTATTAAATGGAAAATAGGACTAACGAGACGTAATTGCAAACGTGGAAGAATTATTTTTTCAATAATCTTTAGAGATTAAACGTCAGATTTCAATTTTAATATAATTAATTATCACTTTATCCAGCAGAAATTACATTACTATAGTAGCAACTATATTATAGCCCAAAATGGTAGTAATATTAATTCAAGGAATCGTTAAATTAAATCTTAATTAAATGAAATTAAATTAAATCTCTCCTTTACTATTTCAGGAAGTTAATATTAAGACACAATTTTTAAACAAAATATTTAGAAAATATTTACACGTGTTAAGAAAATTATTTTATCGCGTCTATTGTCTTAATGTCTATTCAGAATAGGTATATCTGAAGAAACTGGAGAACCAGTTTCAGAATGAGCATATTAGAATAGGAATGGAGGTCGACATAAAACCTATGGTTTTGTCAACTACACATCAGCGACAGTATCCATACATATATGCAGTAAAGTGCCAGTGAAACGTGAAAGGCAACGGTTATACACTCGAGGAATGTGGAATATTTACAAATACCTACATACTATTGATTCTTGAACCACGTTCGTTCACCTACGAGAGATATTCGATGCATTAACAATCATGTGCTTGCCATTAGATGGACAATTTCCATTTGTATTTAACTATAAATTAAATTTCAACTTATTGCCTGGATGGTGCAACCTAAATTTACGATAATACTCGAAAGAATTTTACTATAGTCACTTGCAGACATAATTTTCTCCTTTGGAAATAATAAAATATCGAAGAAATGGATATAATAATATATCAAACATGTAATTTCTTAATTACTTTCTGTATTATACTAAAACTTAATTATCTAAGTAAAGCTTTCTTTGATTATAAAATATCAAATAAAAATTCTATTATTTTAATTATTTGATATATTATATTCCATTGCTTTAAAGCAATATGCTTGCCATTAGATGAACAATTTCTATTCGTATTTAACTATAAATTAAATTTCAACTTATTGTCTGAATGGTGCAACCTAAATTAACGATAATACTCGAAAGAATTTTACTATAGTCACTTGTAGATAAAATTTTTTTTTTTGAAAATAATAAAATATCGAAGAAATGGATATAATAA